TTCCCCCCCACAACAGTCTTTTATTGCCTAAAATTTCTGGTTAACAGTGTGGGTTAAAAAGTAATCAAGCAGTAAATGGCTATCAACAGAGAACTACCTGATAATAGTAACTGAAAAGCCGATGCATTCCTAAAATCCTTCTCTGGTCAAATCCTCACTGAGCTACCTCTATACGTCCGCCTCTTCTCTGCTATGACAGGCCTGTCTGGTAGCTGATACAGTAGGAGAATTACTATAGCACCTTCTTACCCTCTCGTCGTGACTTCTCCGGACGATTGATTGTGTCTTCTGTTGTGCATTCGAAGAGACCTAGCTCAGAGCAAGGGGACCTCGGTCGACTTCTGGTACTATTAAGCACCGTTCTGAGTGCTAAATTTTTTACTAAGCCCGACCTTGCGCATTATCCTGCCACCGCGTATCATTTTCCTAACCTTTAATCTGGCCCGACTACCCCTCGTTTCAATTATAGCATTCACAATGCTGATGCCCGCTCTCAGCCTCCCGGTCAACGAAGCATTTTGCAACTAGAAACCACCGTTCGAAATTTTACTGACCTCCTTGCCCGTCTTACAGTAGCGTCGTATCGTTTGCTGAGACGAACAGGCATTCCAGACGTGAGCATTGAGAGTAACGACAGCAGACAACAGACAGACAGACAAAACCAACTACAGTACCCTCGCTGCGCACTGCGCGCGCAGGCGTATAAAAGCCTGCACTGCAACGCGCGCACTGTGACGCGCACGCGTAGTAAACGCATGCGCCGTACCACTAATTGATGGGCTGGGTTTAGTTTTAGCTGTTACCCGTGGTCTCTTGCCAGCTCGCGCAGAGTCTGACGCGGGCTAACTACACTACTAGATAGCATGCGAGAGGCGATACACGCCCTGCGTTGCATCTTCTGGTGCCTCCGAGGTACGCAGAGCACGCGGATCGATCAGACGTGGTAAGCATCCCGTCCGTTGTGTATTTGCATATTGGCTTTTTCGCGCTCTAGCTTTGCAACGGAGCAGTTTTCAGAGAAAACCACACATATTTCTGACCTTCATTGCCCGTTCAGTAGGTGGTATCCTTTGTGAGACGAACGAACACTCGAGAAGTGAGATGACGAGTAACAGACAGACACACACAGACAGACAGACAGACAGACCCAATGAAAAGCACTAAAGTGCAAACCCTCGGCGAACTGGGAATGCGCGGTACCGCTAATTGATGGGCTGGGCTGCTATTAGTATGCGTTTACTCGTGGTCTCCCGCTAGTAGCTCGCAGAGAGTCTGACACGGGCTAGCTAGCTACAGTAGTAGATACACGCCCTTCGTTGTGACTTCTTGTGCCTTAAAGATACACAGAGCAAGCGGACTCGGTCGAGGTATATAAGCGCATGCGCGTTTTCCGCAGCGATAAAAATGGCCGACTACGCATTAGCCGCAGAATGCCGGAAGCGCTCTAGCTTTGCAACGGAGCATTTTCAGAGAAAACCGCCTTTATTTTCTGACCTTCGTCGCCCGTTGGGTAGATTGTATCGTTTCTGGGACGAACAGACATTCGAGAAGTGAGATTGAGAGTAACAGACAGACAGACAGACAGACAGACAGACAAACCCAACTACAGTACCCTCGCTGCGCATGCGCGCCGAGGGTAACTACTGTAACCCATGCGCGCCGAGGGTTAATTAGTTACAAACAGACCATAATTACTCTTCACAATGCATAAATTTCCAATACATACATACAACCACAAGGTTAATGTACAGTATAATACTAGCAAACTGTTTTATTATATACAAGGCTGAGAGCTAAGAATGAGTGTAGTGGTATTTCCAGTCAGCAGAGAATTGAAAGGTGGTGAAGATCTCCTTTCCACACTTGACGTGACCTTTGTATTCGGAAAAATTGTCTGTTTCCTGTTCAAATGCCCATTCGTAGCTATAGTTTGGGTGTGACAGACAGAGGGGGGAGAGAGAAAAGATGGAGGGGAAAGTTATCTGGGTGGATTACGACAAAAAAACTCACACCGTTTTTGAATTGTAGCTGTGGATACTTCACTTACTCTTAGTATAGCCACCAATAGACTTGCAAATCTCGTTTTTTTACGAATGCATCATTGTATAATTATTATAGATTATAAAAAGAAACAAGGAGAAGTCTATCCTCAACAATAACACTGATGGAACTCTTCCGTTGTGTAAACGTCGGTGGAGGATCCAGGGGGGTTCCTTGGGTTCCGCCCTTTTTGCCGTTTTGTGCGCCGGCCTCGTACACGCGCACGAGTGCGGTCAAAAACGTTCTGGACAGTGGAATCCCCCCTTTCGATCCGCCACTGATACGTGCCCACTGTTACAATGCTCACTTGTTGAGTCTGATGTTGTCTTTGTCTCCTAGAAACTTCATCCAGGGCTTGGTGATGGTGAATGGGTGCATGATGGTGGCAAAGTTCTGCCTTGCACTCACAATGAACGGGGTCTTTCTTTTCCTTCTCCCTGTGTGGAACATGGCAGTAACACTGACAGACACTGGCACCAGATTTCTAACACATGCACACAGCCACACACACACACACTGTACATTCTAGTGGGCCAGTGCTCATGCTTACACAGCTATATAATGTGCAGTTTTCCTGGTGGTAATGGCAAAGCCCGCTGCAGTAGCTACGTGTCTTCGCCTAAATTGGCATGCAGCGCAGGGGGGTGCCTAAGAAAGGGGGCGGGGCTGGTAGCTGCCTTTCTTGCTAGAGACACATACTCACCGACGAAATCGTCCATGGCGAAGGCCAGCTCCACGTCAGGCCACTCTACTGCAATCCTCCCACCCACAGAGAAGTTCTCGACGCTGGCCGCCTCCTCTATCCTCTCCACCTCGGCCTCCGTGAGCGGCCGGTCCCCGCGACTCAGAAACTCCTTCCAGTTTTCGAAGCCGAAGACGGTGAGCGTTGCGTCTCCGCTGCCTCTGAATAGGACGGTGCCGTCGGAGTTGCGAGAAGGCTCCGGGGTTATCTCGTAGTAGCCTCTCTCCGCGGCCATCGCGCGCCGATAGCTAGTTTGGCTAGCTACTATACTACTAGCAAAAGTGCAGAGCTCCGCGGTCGGTAGGGCCGGGCCGGGGGCGGGGCGGGGTACGCAGGTTTGTACGCATGCGCACCGATTTTATCTGGGTTTCGAGGGCGTGTCTGCTTTAGTATCGTTGTGCCTTACGGCAATTCTACACCACTGCTCTACTGCCGCAGGACATTGATCTAATGTGATTGATCTGCACAGAGCACAATCGCGATGTGCGTAACATTACCTAGCAAGGTTTTATGCAGAAACAAAAGACAGAGTGTAGGCAGCATCTTTGTCTGGGATTGCCAAGACAGGCTTTGTGAAGATTACAGTAGTGCAAAGTGCACCTCGTCAATCATGTCTGTCTTATTATATCAGACAGACATGATTGATGTAGTTCGTCCCACGCGTGGGGAGACCTATAATAGGTAACTCTGCATGTGAGATGAACAATGTATGTCATTGCTATAGTCCTCTGATAGCTTCTTGATGTTTTGACAACAGCCATTACCCTATTAGACAGAACAAATTGGTGGTACCACATGAACCCAAAGGCTCCCTAGATCCAGTCTTCCAAGTGAGAGACTCCTACCTTCAATCACATATCTGTGGAGTCTGAAGCTGTCTCTGTGCAATTATGATGTTGGCAGGCGATCTACAACCGAAAACAGAGGAGTAATGCTTTGGTGATTTCAACTATAATATATAACTGCTGATGCATGTCCTAGAGTGTTGCACTTTGTTTGCTTTGACTGTTGACAGTGAAGGTATCTGGTAGGTCTCCTACTCTTGTAGCTCAAAGAAGAATTATGTGCTTTTTCACTCATCTTCTGCTGCTGTCTTCATGTAAGTTATATAGCTAACCGTGGATTATTTGGTTACTGAGACTGGCCTTAGCTACAGGCAAAATCTATAGTCATCTGTGAATGTCAGTTGTTGTTTCTTTCTCCACAAAAGGCTTTTCTTATATACTCACTCCAACTGCAGTATGTGGTGTTGTGGTTGTGTCAGAGGAACAGAAACTGGAAGATCTCAGGAACGTGGACAAGTGTAATATCTGCCGCTCGTTTGCTGCAGCTCTCCTGCTAGGACTGGACCGGGATCTTCTCCCAAATGATGTAATGATAGTACAGTTTTAACTGCTGTAGCTAATAGAAAGCTACATGCACGGGGACTTGTATATCTTGCATGTGTAAATGTTCCATGTATATATAGTGCCCCATGTATTTTTGTGTGTGGGGAAATGAACGCCAAAAAATATGCACAGTGAGAGTATAGACTGTGCCATAGCAAAGTGGTTTGAAGTTTGCCTTTGTCTTGTATTGTGTTATATAGGTGGACCTACCAGCTGAGTTGCCCCGGTAGCTCAGCTGGTAGACCTTGCCTAAAGATACGTGAGACAATGCGTTAATTCACCTTCAATGTCTGCCATGATGGTCTCCTTGTATATAGCAAGTTCCTAAGCCTGTAGTCTGTAGTTTATATATATATGAGTGAATGTGTGATTGTATGTTGATGTGTAGATGCAACCTTGGACAGTAAGTCGATGCGAGCTCGAGCTATACAGAGAAGGAAAGGAAAGTCTTGCGATTTACTGCTCCGCCTTCAACGACCAGTACTACGACTCACTGCTTCCTCAAGCACAGGTCATGAGGGACTCAGTGTATATCTATATATAGAAGAGAGAGTCATCTTCCCCCATTCCCCTCCATCCCTCCCTCCATTTCTGGTTAACCCTGTTTCTCCCTCGCTCCCTTTTCTCTCTCCTTTTGCTATGTTCTCCTATACATATAATTATATATCATCTGTCTGCTCTAACAGATGGGAGAAAGATCTAATGTGATGTGTGAAATACACTGTCACAGTCTGACATCTAGTCTCCAAGGTTACGATAACAACAACCAACCACATCGCAGCTGGGCACAAACCACGGATACCGATGTGTCCCAGGTAGCATATTATATCGCAAACTGAAACAAAAAATCTTTTTTCTGAGATCCCATTGTAGTTAGTTAAGATTGCTATGTCGTCCTGAGAAGGTTTAAGATACCTATGTTTGAGCAGGGGTCGCAGTGCGATAAATGCAAAGGAGTTTTACAAAACCTGCAGCAGCTTCGGAGTTTATTCGGAATTCCTGTGAGTTGTAAAAATGTCACTGCATGTGTAGCTAACGTGAATAAATTGCTTACTTTTTCTCTTCCAGTCGAAAACTGTGGACCAAGCAGAAGATCATGAGTGTGACACCGTGTGCAAACCGTCCCCACCCACTAATCCTGGAAACCCACTATCACAGCTAGTAGCTCGTATCATGGATCAACTTGCTGCATCCTGGTGTGTTTCTCGTAGCAATGATCCTAGAATCTTGTACATCATGCACAATGAACCGACATAGTCCCCTCTCCAATGTGATGGTTTGGTATGATTTTGTCAGGCACTGTGTTTTGCTTCCTACAGGTATCAACAAAGCAGCCAAAAGAAGTAGCTGATCACGAGAGTTGGTTTCAACTATTAAGACACAATTGAGACTGCTGTAGTATGTAGTGCGTTTAGAGGAGGATGAGGATTAGTGTTTCATGATCATGCGCAAATGCATCGCGCATGCGCAGTATAGTAGAGTAGGGGCTCACGTGAGTATTCGTTTCCATGGCAACGTTTCCGTTCTGTTCCGTTGTGTGGAGACCGGAATCGGGACCACAGAGAGAAACGCAGGACAGCAAATTACAAATGGCGTCATTCCTGCGAAGAATACGAGAGGCAGGAGGGATCAGAAACGGTCTCAGGACTCTGATGAGGTAAACAGTCAGTACCTCTCACTCGCCTCATAACTTGGTCGGAAGGTTTCCAATTCTAATTAATGCCCACCCTCTCACTGACTCATTGGCGCGTTATCTCTTTCAGTTGGCAAATTGGTTCGTCTCTAAGTAGCTCGTGTTGCCAAGGTATTCACCCACCACATGGGGCAGAATAATTCACTGGCAAGCTTTGTTAGTAGATTGTAAATTCTCCTGATTCCTCCTGGCGAAAAGCAGCCAAAATATCGCCACCCTGCCCAACGAAATGAAATGCTGCCAGTGTAGAATTCCATTTTCTCAGTACATACACACTTGGCCCTCGACTTAGTTTCTGTAGAACCTTCTTGACTTGCCCGGTATACAATGGTTTACTTAGCCAGAGGGGTGGTCAGACCTTTGCTAGTCTTTCAGACACCATCTTCACTATTTGGGGCAATGTGCTTCCTAGAACTCTGAAGATTTTTCCAGTAAAATGTACAATTCTCTCTACAAATGTGTTGGTTTCTTCTTAAGAAATAATTCTTTTGTTCCCAGGGATTTTTGTCCTCAAAAATAATGTGTGCTCCTTCCAAGAATGTTTCCTTCCTATATTATTAAATTTCTGAGAATGTACCTTATGACCATTACCCACACCTCAATTAATGGTTAGAGTGCAGAGGACTTGTGGTATATAACTGAGGAAATGTGGGGGTGAGGGGGTTACTACATTTATCAAGAAAGGGATGAAAAAGAGAGGGTTTCATTTGTACCATGCCCTAATTAATGGTTAAAGTTCAGAGACCTTGGGTATATGTACTTAGGATGTGTTGGGGCAGAAGGTTAGTTGTACCTGACTAACGATGAGGAGAGGGCAATGCACCTTCCACTAGTAGTTACGTAACCCTGATAGTGGAGAGGTGTGGGTAATATACTGAGAAAAGTGTTTTTGGAGATTACTAGCTGTCCTCCTGATCCTTTGGGAGACTCCTCGTGTATCACGTTAGTCAGGTGAGTGGTGGCACGAACATGCTAGGGGGGTTAATTGTGCACCCCTACGATCACACGCCGAAATTGCCGCTACACCCCAAGAGACATGAAGGTATTCCAGCCAGCAAGGGACTTCACTTCAGTCAGGAGTGTTTATGCCCACACACATGTTGAGAGTAAACAGTAGCCACTGGGGGCAGGTTACAAATAGTATGAGATGGTGTATCTATCTGGTCGGAAGTTCCTATATACCCAGAAACCTGACCAGAGGAAACTGAGCTGAATTCCCGAGGGTGAAACCCTCAGCTTTGGAAACCTGTCTGTAAAGGAAACAGATGAATTCCCGAGGGTGAAACACCCTGGAATGTTTCCCAAGTGTCCCAACAATGACGGAGTTTTTACTGAATCCTTCTTCTTCTTTCTTCTTTCCTCCTTCCCTTCCTTCCTCTTCTCTCTTTCCTTTCCCAAATTCAACTCTTTCTTCTTCACAAAAACACACACCCACACATGCACACACACACACACACACACTCCCTCCCTCTCTCCCTCCCTCCCTCCCTCCCTCTTCTCCTCTCTCAGAGTACGAGACATGAAAGGTGGTACACTTGTTGGAACCGATAAATTTGGAAACGAATACTACGAAAACAACGATTACATCATCAGTGAGTTTTCAGCACCTTTTTAATTTCCGTTACTGTTGGTCAAACACATTTAATTTCTCACTGGCTGTGAGAGTAGGTGTTTATCTGCTAGAAAACAAAACTGACTCATATCCTTTTTCATGTGCACTGTTCAGATGTTGCCATGGTATATATCCAGTCCAGGTGTCTCATATTAATATTAATTTGTTTCTCCTGCAGCTTTTGCCAGGGAATATATCTTTAGCCCTAGCTATTTACTATGCCTCACCCCGTGTTAATTCAATTTCGTATACTCTGAAATCTATTAACAGCACATTCTATTTATTTATTTCCCAGCTGTTTAATAGGCCTCACCCCATTTTAATTTAATTGTGAACATCTGAAATCAGTAGATTATTTTAATGGGCTCGTTATTTTTCTGAAAGACGGCTATATCGGATTACCCAAAGGTGTGTGATTGGGTTTTGGCTTTCAGAATAGACCAGCAGACAGGAGAAACCCAGACTAATTTGTTCCAGAACATCCACACCTCGCCCCTATGACTAGCAGTACAGCAATTAATATTGCAGCTCATTATAGCTCTTGTGGTGTAATTAGTGACATTTTACCTGGAAGTGGTCTTAATTGGCTAGCCATCGCCTCACCTTCTGAGAAATAATAATTATTATGCTACATAGGGTGGATATTGAGTCTCTTAAGTCATTAGCTGCAGCGACATTATTACATTGCTATATCTAGTTATGCAAGGTGTTGCCTTTTGGCTTTCGGAATGATATCATCCTTCTAGATTAGATGGTTTGCATCTTTCTCTGGACCTCACCCTACATGTGAGCTAGTCTAAACCTGGAACATGTCAGTAACTAAACCTAGTTTCCTGATTTAGGGCGACGTGATTTGTCCGCACTCTTCCCACCGTCTGCAGGCAGGAACCGATGGGTATATCTCTTAGGGCGAGACTGGGACGCCTCCCAAATTCCTCCTGAATGGTAACAATCACTTGTATTATTATTTATAGCCCCATACGTCTATGATGCTAGGTACAATGCCCACCCCTTTGGCTAATGTATGATAAGAAGAAGATGAACAAAACTCCCAATCATAGCCCCATACGTCTATGATGCTAGGTACGATGCCAATCCCTATATACTGAACTATAATACACTTGGTGACAAGGTGAATTGATCCGTTTAGCAATTTAAGAATCCTCGGGAATTATAATTTTTTGGCAAGCCAGGCAACATTTACGCGGCATCTGTTTCTCTCCACTCACGCTGAGTTTTGTCATTTTGGAATTCGTTCAAGAATTCTAAATTTTGGCCGGCAAAAAGCAACCATTGTGTCTATGTTGCTATATAATGTCGTCTGGTAATTTGTTCATTATCCACCTGTCCCCTCTCCCTCACTGTTACTGTGTGCATGTGTTGATTTGTTGCAAATCGAATCACTAAATTTTCTTTTGCATGAGAAACTCTTCCGTGTCTTACATAATCCATTTCATTTTTAAAATTAGGAAATTGTTTTCGTGTCGTATTTTTACTCCCCCATTTCCCCCATTTCCCCCTTTTCTCTTTCTCTCTTTCTTTCTTTCTTACTTTGTCTCGCCACCCCTGTCCCCAAAGGCACATGTGGCTCCATCACATGACAGAGAAGACACCGGTGGAAAACCCCCCGGATGACCAGAAATTCCATCTGGACCACGAGCGCAACTACTCCGGGACGGCGGATCAATACGTTCCATACAGCACTACCCAGCCAAAGATTCAGTCGTGGCAACCACCAAACTAACACAGAGCCCATATTGTAGCCCAGAGCATTAAGTTGGTAGTTTGTTCTCTTTGTGTCCGTGTGTGTTGGCGCCAACCACATACGCGTATACGTGCGCGTGCATGCGCCTGCCGCCACCGCGCAACGCGCATCGGCCGGATCACGACTAAGCTTAACTAGCGAAGGACGACGACCGCTGTTGACGGGCTTCCCTCTGCTAACCGTCTATATATATAAAACTGCAACGGCTGCTGCGCAGCACCGAACGTCAATATTAACCGGCTACACCGTCTTCAATATCTCCATCAGCGGAGCCGCTCCTACTTCGCCGCATTGAGGGGACTGCAGAATAATGCACGCATTTGCTCATCTACTGCTCCTTGCCTCATGGCGTAAGTTCGTCGACACGGCGGCGCGGCCGTCACCAGCGCGCTCACGGATGTGTCTGCATGCAATATATTATATATAATTATGTGCTTATTTTCAACCCCTTTCCAAAGACAAAAACTATACGTAATCAATCAACGTACGACCACATGCTATAGATGCGTAAAAAGCGACATTATGCTTGCTGGTGCAGCTGGCGAGAATTGTATAATTATACTGAACTTGGCAACCACACCGGTATGGTGGGAGATGCATCAGTAGTCAATCCTACATGTGCCAGCAGGGTTAATACACGTCAATTGCCTATGGCTAGGGATATCTAACAAATCTGTTGCAACATAATAATACATCAAAGTGTCCTTTATTCAAAGATGTGTCTTAATTAATATAATACGCTCATATAGAACCAAGTTCCCTTATTTTTGTTTAATTATTATGTTTGTGTTATAAGATGTCATGCTATAATTATTATACAGTTGGAAGTGTTGTGGTTCTCGGAGTCAACTTGAGTGATGCACAACTGACGCCCTCTCACAAGTGCACCATCTGTCGAAACTTCGCCGAAGCCCTCTATTACGCAATTGACCGTAACACTCATAGCAGTGAGGTACTGTAACTTCTCCTTAAAATAGACAAAGCTATTTTTAGAGGAAATAAAATTGTAATTAATGGGTAACTTATGCGTAGCTCCTGTGCTCTAGCTATATATAATATTAGACTACGGTAACACGCAATTAATTGACCAATCAGATTCCGAGTTTAGCGGTGACTAGTGACCTCTTCCGCGGTAATTATTTCGCAGCCCTGCGGCACTTTCTTACGCGTTTTGGTCATGGCAACCACGCCTTCAATTCGAGAGACGCCGTGCGAGCCGAAGGCAAACGGAGCTTCTGGAGAGGTTCTTTCTCACGAAAACCCAGGCACTCCGTCTTCTAGAAGGAAGCGGTGCATGACTACAAGGCCTTAGCTACAGCTCGGGCCAGACGCGCATGCTAGCGGTGCGAGAAGCGCCCAGCGCCCCCGCCTACTTTCGCGTTAGCGAGACCCGCCGCAAACATGTACGCCTGATGCTGGCCGCTGCAAATCGCCTGCCTACTTCCAGTTCGTCCTCAGCAAAAAGCTCCATAATCTGTGACCCCAGTAAGCCATCCATCCGCAATGCCGCGTGCTTTGTTGTGCGTTGCTAGCGCTTGCGCTGTAGTCTAAGATGGTTAGATGCGTCGCCTTGGGAACTACGCGATTTAGTGAGCCTCGGGGCCCTGGTAGTAGCGCCCTCGCTGCGCTCGGGACGCCGACAGCCCAGGGCCCTCGGCTCACTAAATCGCGTAGTTCCCGCGGCTCAGCATCTAACCTATACTTATTGTACACAGTGGAACCTCAGAACAAGGGACACTACGGGGCCAACGATTTTTTGAGCTCGGAGGTGAAAAAATATTCCCATGGGGTTGTAACAAGTTTCCTTTGTAGAAAGGTCGTCCCTATTATATTGCCGAGGTTCCCTTATCGAAGGTGTATCTGTGAGATAGAGAGACTTATTATCTTAACCTGCTGTATTAACCATCAGCTGTAGGGTTTCATCGTCATTGGCGCATTAAAGTTTAAGTTTGTGTGTGTGTGTGTGTGTGTGTGTATAGATGCAGACTGTGACAGTGAGCCGTTGCCAAGTGTTGCTTAGGCGAAATGAACAACCGGATGATGACCCGATTGACCTGGCTGCATATTGCTCTCCTTTCAAAGCTACATACTTCAACGCTTTGCTGGATGATGCACAGGTAAGCATGTTTCGAAAACTGTGTGAAAGTTTGTCGGAAGAAAGAGTCTTTATCGTTAACCATGTTAAGACTAAGTGTTGAGTGGCTCAAAACTTAGTCTTAAATGAAGAACCAAACGTCTTGAATACTGTGACCATCATCTGGTAAATAAATCTCCTCCTCCTCTACCTCTCTCTCCCCCTCTCCCCTCTCTCTCTCAATCTCCAGGAAGGACGAAGTACAACCTACATGTGTAAATTCCTCTGCAGTGGTCTTGTCAGCCAGCAATCCTACAGATGGCAACAAAATGCTCAGGTCCCAACATCACGTCAGACTATAGCAGTTACTTTACCCTTACTCCTCCAATGACCATCGCGCTAAGTGAAAACTCTAATAGAGCAAACTTGGGCCTCAGAATGTGTTGTATATACTATGGCAGTGTATTCTCTGCATTTTGAACTTTCAACCATCACACTATAATACCTATTGTGGGGCATTATTGTACAGGAGTATGAGAACCCATTGACCGGAGCAGCATATCGAGAAAGTTCGGAGAAGCAGCCAGGGTACAAGTGCGACATGTGCAGAGATATCGCAGGGAAACTCATAACAATGGTCCAGAGTTTCCATGGAAACACATACGTGAGTTAACCCCTTCCATCCCTCCTCCCCTGTCGTGGGAACAACAAGTTAACCCTTTATGTTCTCCCACCTGAAAATATTTGAGCTTTTTGTCTCTGGCTGGAACAGCCTCATGGAATTTTGTCGAGAGCAACGGTTTACCAAACCCACAAAGATGTTGTCACAATGTCCACAACATACTAGTAGAATAATTATATAGCTAGCTACCATGAAAACTAGACCTACCGAAGAACGGACATGCTTTGTTCTGTCTGGGCCATACTAATACGTTAGATTAATACCTCAGAATAAGGGACACTTTAGTGCCCTCCCCCCAGGTTATGTAGATGCTTCACTGTAAGGCACAGTGGTAACTTTGTCCCCATTCCATTCTGGCCCAGGTGACGCCGGAATCAATCTGCAGGGAAATAGAGGCGTGTCCTCAAGTGATGTCGTCTCGTATTCCTCCCAGCCTCATGGAAAAACTGGTTGTACTGTTGCAGAGGTATAATATACTAACAGAACATTCCCTCTCAACTGTATGTACCACTCTATGTTGCTAATCTCTCTGTAACCTGAATTTAATCTTCCTCACAATCTTTCCTTTTTGAATGCAGGTTTGAGCAGACTGATGAATGATATCTGACAGTCTCAATGTGGACAATGATTGACACATTATGTATTGGTTGTTTTCGATTTGATAATTATTTTGTTGTGTCGTTAGCCACTTTTCCGATTGCGTTCTCTCAGCTCGCATAATATAATTATTTTTGGTGTTATTATGGGTTTACCTATATATCATTAAAAAATGCAGCACGACTTTTTGGTTTAGGAATTCGAAGTTGGTGTTTGTTGCAATAGTCACAGTGCGATAGCGAACGCTTTTCTCTGCAGGAAGGAGTCTTAGTGGTTGCTATGTCAGTGTTACTGTATGTAAGCATCATATTGAACAGCATTGTGGTGCCTTTATGCTTGAATACTAGCGTCCTGCGCCGTGACCGCTGTCGGTGGAATAACACCGCGCCAATAGGTACACGCGCATGCGCACTGTAGGAATTCTACGCGCATGGTGGTACCGCTCTCTAGGGGGCCGGGTCGTGCGTGAAGGCAGAGTATAATAGAAAGAATGATTGTGTAGCAAGTATTAAATTGGCATTATAACACTTCTATCAGCAAATTATTGGCCAGGCGTTGCGGGAAACGTGGTTATAATAACATTCCTACGTGCCCAGAGCACCTTGTTTGCGGTGTTGACTCTCATGCTTACACAGAACATAACCCGACGTTATGTCAGTCACCACACCTTTACGAGCCACATGAGAGGCGGCCAAATTGAATTTTGTGCAAGGTGAGCATGGATATAAAAGTAGGCTGTGATTTTTTACTTCTCACGAAGCGCGATCATCCACTGTTTTTTGCGGACTCCTTCATCAACCCTCCGAATCAATTTACTAGAACGCTGCTATAATGCGTGCGACAGTATTTCTACCTTTGGGTACGTTCCTGAATTAGGATTTAGGATTGCATAATACTTATGTTACTTGCTGCGCAGTGTGCGTGCTGCTGTGCGCAGTTTGTCAGCATGGCACCTACGCCTGCCCTTCTACCTGGAATGGATCACCGTGCCAAGTCTGCCGAGCTTTTGCCGCAGCCCTTATCCACCATACTGATAGAGGCACGGTGGTAAGTAGTAGGTCATAACAGTCTAGCTGTTGACTGAACTAGTTTCGCGTATTATAGTCACTCGCTGGGAGAAAGTTTGGTCCGCTGACGTCCGCGAGTATAATATAGCTATAATTACTAGCCTACGGCTACGAATTACACAGTAATAGCTGTATATATAGTCACGTTTCTGTGTAAATCGATAGAGCAAACTTTCCTGGCGCAGACGCGCGGCGCGGATGCCGTGCAGGGTACGTCATTATTTTTGTTGTTATTGTAGACACACCAAAATGTCGTCAGTCGCTGTAACACTGTGTTGGGGCAGACGTACGAGGGCTGCCAATTCGGCACGAGGTGCTCGACCTACTACACAAGCAATTTCGGTAGCATGTCAAACGATTTGAGTAACGTAAGTTATGAACACTATACGATCTGCGAGTGAGTGTTTTGGACTTTTCTATAATATTATTATATAGAACCAAAACGCAGATTCTGCCTACCTGTGTCGACACGTTTGCAATGGCATGTCGATGGTGCAGTTGACAGCCGAAAAGGACGCAAACCTTCAACAACGCGTGAGTGACGCGCATTCTATTCTTGCTCACACACATTCACGAGAATTTTTAACAGAAACTATTATATAGCTAGGTGCCATAGCATCAGTATTAGCTGTTCCTGCTAATGTTTTTTTTGCAGGTTGGAAGCGAGAAAAGGTTCTTTGATGTGCTGATGTCCGAGATGCGAAGCACCCCACGGCAGAGCGAGTGCAATAAGTGCAAAAGTGTTTCGTACACTGTTTCCGTCTCATTGGTCAACGTGAGTAAGGGCTACGTTATGTTATTACGTCCTCGCGCCACCGCGCCAAGTGCTCGTTAGGAGCGCGAGCCGATCACGCGGCACCCATAGAGCACAATTACGTTTTTCACTAGCTATGATATTATTATGATTATAAACCTATAGATTGATGAAAAACTAATGAATACCCTAATAACCTCGAGAGAGGTTACGAGAGCAGCGATGCGTTTATGCGCTGTCTGATAGAGCGATCTGACCCGGATAAACCAGTCTGGCACCAGAGCTGTTTCTGTAAAACACTCGTCTACGACCTCTATAACAGTCCTCTTATGAAAACCGTGAGTTGAGGACCTTTCTCTTTCTTGACTTTAGTAAAGTGCACTGGCGTTACCTTAGCGCTAATTTTTCGCGCGCCGCGGCCATCATTGGTGCAGTTGGCCGTGTGATCGTGTCTTTATACCTTCGTATATACGTACGTACTAGGGTCTATCATCAGGTGAAACGATCTGTGAAAGTATTGGACGATGCCCCAAATGCGAAACGGCCAAGTTCTTCGACATATTCTCAAGCGGTAAAAGTGTCTAATCCCTTTTCAAGACCTTTCATTGCGTATCGCTTTTTCCCCCACAGGACCTGCGATGGAGTAGCTGAATCTCTGCGCAAAGACTGACAGATTAACCACTGTACATCTAGTTTAGTGTGTAACCTTACAGATTAGAGTGTGTAATGACCCTTTCATGTATATCTACAGCAGTGTCACGATATTCAATTCAGAAAATGTCAGAGAGACGCGCTGCTAATAGAATGTATGGGCATAATGCAGGACAACCTGTGTCATCCCTATATTATACTAAGTACTACCGTACTTAGTGATAGGGGTGCGGTTGATGAAAAAAATGAATCAAAATTTGTCTGTTTCTCTGTTTCATCAATGCTAAGTTGAGTTAGCTCGCGGAGCCTGAGCCCGACGTTGTACGCATGCGCACACGAAACACGCGATCATGTGACGTTCCTAATAAGGAAAAACTGGCGTACAACTTTCGCGCGCTTGTCTCTCTGCTGTGCGAACTCCCCCCCTGACAAAAGAGTCAAGGCAGACGACATGAAGTTGGCTGTGTGTCTTCTCACACTGTTTGTGGCTGGTGAGTTGCTGCGGGACACGCCCGGCACGCTTTCCCGCGCGTTTGACTGCGTAGTTTACACGGGCGCCACGTGTGTATATACGCACGTAGCTGCGTACGTTTGTAGCTGATGGGTGTGTGCTTGTGTGCTAAAAGTGTGTTTGTTTAATTTTGCCGTTTGTTTGCCTCAATTGCTAACCCTTGTACTGCCTTGGCGTTGGACGCCTCGTGTATGGAGGGGAAAGTATAGGCTTATACAACCACTAGGGCATTCAAGTTTAGTCCCTCCCATTCTTTAGTTACCACACAAAAGAGGGAGTGTTTTTTGCTACATAGCTGTCGCAACATGCAACATACGTATTATAATAATAGTTGGACAACGAGTATTTTAAATCTATATACGCAGTTTTGCAGGGGGGAAACACTTAGTTACTCTTATGTGATTTACAAAATCTTTTCGATTGACTTAATGGTATAGCGATTTACTGTTGAACGTAGACGCAAAAGTCAGAGAGTAGTAGAATGGCAGTAGAATGGCAGTAGTAGAATGAGCAGTAGAATGAGCAGTAGAATGGCAGTAGTAGAATGAGCAGTAGAATGAGCAGTAGAATGAGCAGTAGAATGAGCAGTATATTGAACATGCTCATAGAAAAAGCAAGCAATCTCATATTCTCCCTCTCTACCTAAGCACACGAAAGAATGAAAAGCTTAGTAGAGACGGTTTCATGCATGAGTGCATAACTTAGATACGAATTGTGTTTTTTGGCCTCGGGAGATGTTTGTTTATAATACCAACCATTGTGTTATTGTTTCAGTTTCCGTTTATGTTTACCCTGCAGGCAGACATGTGACATACGTGTGCACAGATTGTGTTTGTTGAATTTGCATCGTTTTCTCCTGCAAGAGATTCACGCAGTTGCCACGTGACGTGGTGTAAATGTTGTGTTGTAGTGTGCAGTGCATGTGATGTGAGCCTTGTGGGGATGAATCTCATTAGTTCAAAACCACAAGTGCTGCGCTCCTGGCAGCCTTTATAAACTCGTGATGCCAGAGTTGGTATGCTCTGCTGATGAGGGGCCAACAAGCCCAAACAGCTGTCCAGAGCTCCTCATTTTTTCTCTTGGCTTGCAGTGGTGCACCCAAAATTCCGTTGGTGGTATCATAGTAGTTGCCATAGTGACAGCTCATTTGTCGTGGTTAGGATCAGGAGGTGTCCAACAGTGTGGCAACCAAGAAATTGCTGTTACATCACTGTCATGTGATGTCACAGGTCACATGATTTACCTCAGACATGCCTTTTACATGAATATCTGACTGGTTGCGTAGCTGTTTCTTTATACGTACATGCGGGCATTGATTTCAGGGGGGCATGGCCCCCTTGGTTAAATTTCGCCACCCCCTTGAGTTAGGTGAACAGCCACAAAACCTATGCCCCCCTCTGTTCTAATTTTGGCCCCCCCACCCCCCTTAATTGGTAGTAAAGGCCTGGTACACCACAATTATTCGGCATATTATTTGAAAGGGTCGTGACCCAAAGTTGTTATTGTTTATACTTTCATGCTTTTTGTTTCAATGGTCTTTAGGCTTTTATTTACTACAAACAGTTGACTATGGGAAGATTTTAACGAGAGTTTGTTTTTTCTCTTTAACGGTAGTTTACCATTCTCTTTCCTCCTCCCTCTCTCTCCTCTCTTCTCCCTCCCCTCCTCTCCCTACCTCTCTCCCCTCTTCTCCCTCCCTCCCTCTTCTCCCTCTCCTCCCTCTTCTCCCTCCCTCCCTCTCTTCCCCAGTCACCTACTCAGCACCCAGTCAGTGTAAGTGGGGACCTTCTTTCTGGTGTCAAAACGAGGCAACAGCGAAACAATGCGGCCAACTCACCTACTGCCAGACCACCGTCTGGAAGATCACGGAGCAGGTTGAACAGGTAAAACCGGTTTTTGCCACCGGCGGTCAATCCTGTCCTCTCCTGTGTAACTTATGTGTACTATATTATTATACCGAAAGCTGTTTTCTATTTTTAGGTAAAACAGCCCGAAGATGCAGAATGTGAATTATGCGAGATGATTGTTGATATTGTTGAAAAATATGTAAACGACAACAACAAAACTGAGGTGATATTAACTTTTTTGTTTTGTTTATAGTGTCACTAAGTACTGTAGTACTCAGTATATAGGGATGACACAGATCGTCCTGCATTATGCCCATACATTTGAGATTTTCATGTTTCACTTTCAAGTTCGATTTTAATACTCGTTATTTTCTTCTTGCAGGATGAGGTAGAGAAGCTGGTTAAAGATGCTTGCAGTAAACTGGGTGGTTTTGCTGAGGAATGCAATGCCTTAGTGGACCAATTTTTCCCCATGATATGGAAGCTCATGGAAGAAGAAGTATGCCTCTATTTTTCTTATACTACTACTTTAGTGGACCTGTATTGCCCCCTCTCATGTGGGAGTATATGGATAAAGCAGTAGGCCTCTATTTTTCTTATACTACTACTTTAGTGGACCTGTATTGCCCCCTCTCATGTGGGAGTATATGGATAAAGCAGTATGCCTCTATTTTTCTTATACTACTACTTTAGTGGACCTGTATTGCCCCCTCTCATGTGGGAGTATATGGATAAAGCAGTAGGCCTCTATTTTCTTATACTACTACTTTAGTGGACCTGTATTGCCCCCTCTCATGTGGGAGTATATGGATAAAGCAGTAGGCCTCTATTTTTCTTATACTACTACTTTAGTGGACCTGTATTGCCCCCCCTCATGTGGGAGTATATGGATAAAGCAGTATGCCTATGTTTATATACTACACGGGCTGTCAGTAACTCTTTCCCCACAGAAATACAGTAACTCTTTCCCCACAGAAATACAGTAACTCTTTCCCCACAGAAATACTTATACAGTAACTCTTTCCCCACAGAAATACTTAAGTAACTCTTTCCCCACAGAAATACTTATACAGTAACTCTTTCCCCACAGAAATACTTATATACAGTAACTCTTTCCCCACAGAAATACTTATATACAGTAACTCTTTCCCCACAGAAATACTTGTATAAGTAACTCTTTCCCCACTGAAATACTTAAGTAACTCATTCCCCACAGAAATACAGTAACTCTTTCCCCACAGAAATACTTATATACAGTAACTCTTTCCCCACAGAAATACTTATATACAGTAACTCTTTCCCCACAGAAATACTTATATACAGTAACTCTTTCCCCACAGAAATACTTGTATAAGTAACTCTTGCCCCACTGAAATACTTAAGTAACTCATTCCCCACAGAAATACAGTAACTCTTTCCCCACAGAAATACTTATACAGTAACTCTTTTCTCACTGAAATACTTATATACAGTAACTCTTTCCCCACAGAAATACTTGTATAAGTAACTCTTTCCCCACAGAAATACTTATATACAGTAACTCTTTCCCCACTGAAATACTTATACAGTAACTCTTTCCCCACAGAAATACTTATTTATAGTAACTCTTTCCCCACAGAAATACTTATACAGTAACTCTTTTCTCACTGAAATACTCACTAACTCTTTTCAGGCTCCTAAAGAAGTATGCACTTTGATTGGATTGTGCACGACTAAGCTCACTGCCAAGAAAGTAAGAGATGTAAAAACAGAATTGACTGCGTGTATATTGCGTCTTGTGTCCAGACCTCAAGATAAGGAAATTGTCTGAGCGATTTCTTGGTTTTAGTAATTCGTCGTTGCCGAGGGCACGCACAAAAAGATACTGGTTTTGTTCGTAGATAAAAACACGAGCATTGTGTGTATATTACGAGCTATGCACGCATGTTACGAACGATTGCGTAACATCGGATGGTATTTCACGCTTGGCCCAAATACTGCAATCTGATTCGCCGGTTTCTAAAGTAAGACTGTCGAGTCAGCAAAACAAGAAATCGCTCGTTAGCAACCGTACCCATTTCCCCTCCATATCTTGTGACCTGGTTTTCTATTTGTGGGAAAATCCATGTTTCTCGCTCGTCCGTTCTTTGAATGTGGAGTCGTTTTCCCATTTTTTTAGGTGCAGAAACTGATGCCCGTTTCGAAGCCCGAAGGTTTGGAGTGTGACTTTTGCAAGTACGTCGTCGACGAGGCAGTGAAGCTTGCAGAAGAGAACCAGACCGAGGTTTGTCGACCCGTCTGTCTGTCCGTCTGTCTTTTTGTCTGTCACGTCACACCATTAAAAATTACGCGAGATTTTTTGCAATTTTTGCTGAATCACTGGATTTTTGGAATCGTGCAGCGACTACTCTCCTCTCGGAGTCAACACTTGATGTTGACACACACTTACAAGATAGAGGGGATGGCGTATTAATATGTGACGAACTGTTACTCTTGATCACCTGTATATTATATATAATTATGAAATGTGGAAGTCATTACGTAATTGCTACTAAATTTAGCTGTTTGAGCAGGAAAACTGGCCATACACCGTTGATATGAGACCGAGCCTTCCGAAATACAACTCTGAATAGCTTGCAACCACTGCGTGGTCTGAGCCTTTGCCGAATTAAATCATTAAACCAGAATACGTACAAAGTTACTAAGTGATTTTATACTAATGGCCTCTCTCTCTCTCTCTCTCTTTCTCTCTCTCTGTCTCTCTCTCTCTCTCCAGGAATTTGTAAAAGATGAATTGGAAAAATTCTGTTCTGCCCTTGGCCACCTAGAGGCGGAATGCAAAGATCTGATCGGCAGTTTCTTCGATATGATTTGGGAAGCGATCTTAGATGGTTTGGTAAGTTTTGGCTGTGTGTCATTTGACTCCAGTATATTGACCTATTGACCTCTGTCCCTTCATCTTCCTCACCTCTTTTTTAGACAGCTGAAGAAATATGGCAAAAAATTAAGTTGTGTTCGGCGGGTGCATTGCTAGCTCAAAAGGTTCGCATTTAGCATAATTATTATTATGTATATACAATTTGTGAGAGTCCACTGATTGATTTCAAATGGAGGTTGAAATCAGCCGGTACTGCATGATTTACAAAAGGAAAAATTCTACTTTCCATAAGACAACGTAAGAATTCTCATTCGCTGTAATTTCAAAAGCTACGGTGTTTTAATCTCCACGGGCACGTGAACGGCCGTGGTAAACAACGGAGAAATGTACGGGCCTTAGAAAAACAACTGTCTAGCGAGTTGCTATGGTTACCAACGATGCTGTAAACTTACCTTTGGCAATGAAGGTCAGAAAGTTCGAACGGTTTTCTCTGAAACTGCTCTGTTGCGAAGCTAGAGCGCGAAAAAGCCAATATGCAAATACACAACGGACGGCTTGCCACAGTCGGATCGATCCGCGTGCTCTGCGTACTTCGGAGGCACCAGAAGATCTCGCATACTATCTAGCAGTGTAGTTAGCCCGCGTCAGACTCTGCGCGAGCTGGCAAGAGACCATGAGTAACAGCTAAAACTAAACCCAGCCCATCAATTAGTGGTACGGCGCATGCGTTTACTTACGCGTGCGCGTCACAGTGCACCGAGGGTTTGCACTTCAGTGCTCTTCTTTTTTTCTTTTTTTAAAGACGCCAGTTTCAAAGCCCGAAGGTGTGGAGTGTGAATTTTGTAAGGTTATTGTTGGAAAAGTTTTGGAGTACGCAAAAGAGAATAAAACGAAGGTTAGTGTAAAATAAATACCTGTATGTCTGTCACATCAGAAGTTCTCTCTCTCTCTCTCTCTCTCTCTCTCTCTTCTCTCTCTGTCTGTCTCTCTCTCTCTCTCTCTCTCTCTCTCTCTCTGTCTCTCTCTCTCTCTCTCTCTCTCTTCTCTCTTCTCTCTCTGTCTCTCTCTCTTCCTCTCTATCTCCAGGATGAAGTTAAAGCTGAATTAGAACAGTACTGTTCCGACCTTAGTTTCCTACAAAGTGAATGCAAGTCTATGATTGACGACTATTTCGATGAAATCTGGGACTTACTACTGACCTATACGGTGGGTCTGCCTGTCTGTTTCATAGATCTCATGTGGTTTTGAGTTCTTCTCCTTCCTCTTCTCCTCTTCTCCCCTTTCCTTCAGACTGCCGAAGAAATATGCGAACAAATCGGATTGTGTTCCGCGAGTGTGCTGCTAGTAGCTCCAAAGGTTCGCATTTAGCATATTATATACAGTGTATATAATGTTTGTGGACTGTTCACACGATAATGTCAATGTCCATTTTAATTCAGGAGCTTGTATTGTGTGATATTTATATACTTCATATATACAACGGAAAAAAATTTACTTTTCCGTAAGACGACTACAGTGGATGGATTTTGTTGGTGTGTTTTACAGGCCGATTTTTGCGACGTCTGTAAGGACATAGTGGAATATCTTCAGACTTACGCCGACAGCAATGCAACCGAAGTAAGCCATATGTAAATTCTCATGCACTTATGGAGGCTCTGGGCATATATATATATATTTGCCCGTGGCTTGCTAAGGGTTAACATTACGCCGCTGACAAAGTGCGTAAGGTTTATATGGATATAAATGAATATTTCTCCACAGGAAGAAGTAAAGGAAGTAATTGAGTCGTTCTGTACTCTTTTCCCTGAGATGCCAGATCAGGTAGGTCACGTGATCACACCGACCAATCAGAACGGTTTATTTTTCTCTCCCATTCATCCCCAGTGCAAAGAAATCCTGGAAAACTTCGATGAATATTGGGATATGTTTAAAGGAGAAGTTGTAAGCAATTAATCTAGCTGAAGTGTATTTGCGTTTGCTTGAGCCGTAACATGTTCAGAACCACAAGTGCTGCGCTCGACTTTGCCTCTATAAACTTTGCCTTTATAAACTCGTGATGCCAGAGAGAGAAGTTGTGGTATGCTCTGCTGATGAGGGCCAACAAGCCCGAAACAGCTGTCCAGAGCTCCCCATCTTTTTTCTCTTGGCATCACATTGTCTATTGTTACATGATGGTCGTGTTATGGTGTGTTGTATAATGCGCAGGACGGGGACACCTTCTGCTACCAGTTTCAGATTTGTACTTCCAAGAAGAAGGTATGCTATGATAATATACTCTATGTAGCAGGGTTTTTTTCCCTGCATGGCAAACTCATTGACTAATGTTGAGGGAAATGTATATAGCTGTATGCAAGAGCTAAATTTAGAAAAAATGGAAGCTTAATTGCATTTTGCACTGGGCCCTATTGTTTAATTCTATCTTTAGTAACGTTTCTAAATTTAGCCTTGTGTATATACCAACACATTCCCTTTAATAATGTCACCTCACGAAAGCTCGTGTTCGTGATATATACCGGTGTGTCTCATTCCAGATCCAGACTCGGACCGTGCCCAAGAAGGAAGAAGACACTCTCTGCGACCTCTGTAATGAAGCTGTTGTCCTTCTGAAGCCCTATGTTGATAACCCTGACACCGAGGTAATGTATATACAATAATAATATGTGTTATAATAATACATGTGTATACTGCTACATTTACAGATGTATTATAATAATAGTAGAAGTAAATTAAATATCCTGTGAATTGAGTTACGCGAGTTCAATCTGAAGAAGAAGAAGATGATGAACAAAACTCCCTATCATAGCCCCATACATCTATGATGCTAGGTACCATGTCAATCCCTATATACTAAGTACTACCGTACTTAGTGATATGTGTCAGAACCAAGTGTTCTTTATAGACCGGTTTTCCTTTACCGAGAGGGTGATATTTTTATTGGAAATCTCCAGATTACAGGGGAAATCGTTTCCACCCCTCCATTCACAGTATTATATTTATGTCTCGACAACTTGGTAGCGAGGTAGAAAGGCAGAGGCAAGGCAGACAAGTCAACTTTACCCAGGACAGCTCTTTCTTTTCAAAGAAAAGAAGAAGAGCTGCCCTGGGTGGGATTTGAACCCACGACTCTGCAGTCTAGGCGAGTGCTCTAGCAACTGAGCTACCAGGGCAACTCAACTGGTAGGGGTTCGAATTGTACAACACAACACAAAGGCACACCTCATGCACATGTTATTAACCCTCGGCGCGCATGCGCAGCGAGGGTTACAGTAGTTGGGTCTGTCTGTCTGTGTGTCTGTTACTCTTCTTCTTTCGTCTCACAAAGGATACCACCTACCGAACGGGCAATGAAGGTCAGAAATTTCGAACGGTTTTCTCTGAAAACGCTCCGTTGCAAAGCTAGAGCGCTTCCACCATTGTACGGCTAATGCGTAGTCGGCCATTTTTATCGCTGCGGAACCGGAAAATGCCGCATGCGCTTATATTTAGCACAGGACCGGGTCTGCTTGCTCTGTGTATTTTGAAGGCACAAGAAGTCACAACGAAGGGCGTGTATCGACTCTCGCATGCTAATCTACTACTGTAGCTAGCCCGTGTCAGACTCTCTGCGAGCTATATTATACTAGCGGGAGACCGCGCATACTAATATACCGCGCATGCGCAGTTCGCCGAGGGTTTGCACTTCAGTGCTTTTTATTGATTTCACTGGTTGTCCATTCAGGCTGATGCTGAGGCAGCGTTGAAGGATTTTTGCAACGCTCTTCCAGATGCGGACAAAGATCAGGTATATATATATATGTTTACTGAGATTAATTGTGGATCAAGCAAGATTACTTCTCTTTCACTTTCACTTATCTAGTGTAACACCCTTTTGAACGAATACTTCCCCATAATTTGGGATCTTCTGAAATCTGAAATTGTAAGTTTTTCTCATCTTTAATGAGTAATTAATTCACCATTATACTTCAATTCCCGGCAGGACGATGGAAAAATATGCGAGATGATTGGACTATGCCCCAGTGCTAAGGTCTTAACTGCAAAACATCGTACAGTGGAACCTCCGAACAAGGGACACTATGGGACCAATGATTTTATCCCTTGTTGAGAGGTCGTCCCTATCTCGGAGGTCAAATAGTATTAGCATGGAGGTGAAACAAGTGTCCTTTGTAGAGAGGTTGGCCCTATCTCGAAGGTCAAATAGTATTAGCATGGAGGAGAAACAAGTGTCCCTTGTAGAGAGGTCGTCCCTATCTCGGAGGTCAAATAGTATTAGCATGGAGGTGAAACAAGTGTCCCTTGTAGAGAGGTGGTCGTCCCTATCTCGGAGGTCAAATAGTATTAGCATGGAGGTGAAACAAGTGTCCTTTGTAGAGAGGTTGGCCCTATCTCGGAGGTCAAATAGTATTAGCATGGAGAGAAACAAGTGTCCCTTGTAGAGAGGTCGTCCCTATCTCGGAGGTCAAATAGTATTAGCATGGAGGTGAAACAAGTGTCCCTTGTAGAGAGGTGGTCCCTATCTCGGAGGTCAAATAGTATTAGCATGGAGGTGAAACAAGTGTCCCTTGTAGAGAGGTCGTCCCTATCTCGGAGGTCAAATAGTATTAGCATGGAGGTGAAACAAGTGTCCCTTGTAGAGAGGTCGTCCCTATCTCGGAGGTCAAATAGTATTAGCATGGAGGTGAACAAGTGTCCCTTGTAAGAGGTGGTCGTCCCTATCTCGGAGGAATAGTATTAGCATGGAGGTGAAACAAGTGTCCCTTTGTAGAGAGGGTTGGCCCTATCTCGGAGGTCAAATAGTATTAGCATGGAGGAGAAACAAGTGTCCCTTGTAGAGAGGTCGTCCCTATCTCGGAGGTCAAATAGTATTAGCATGGAGGTGAAACAAGTGTCCCTTGTAGAGAGGTGGTCCCTATCTCGGAGGTCAAATAGTATTAGCATGGAGGTGAAACAAGTGTCCCTTGTAGAGAGGTCGTCCCTATCTCGGAGGTCAAATAGTATTAGCATGGAGGTGAAACAAGTGTCCCTTGTAGAGAGGTCGTCCCTATCTCGGAGGTTCCACTGTATATATACAATGTTGCGTTACTATTAAAGATAGTTCGAACTGGTTCATCGTCTATAACCTCGTCCTCTATGAATTCGAGGTGTACTAATTATTTATACAATACGGCGCTGGCAACGCTGGCTTACCATATCCGTATGCAGACCCAGTTGGCGGATGTCTGAATGTGGGAACACATGCGATGGGGCACTTCGCACACCGTAATGTTCTACGTGATTCTAAATACCCGTGAAATTTTGAACGCGTCGTGCACTGAAAATTTGAACTGCTCGCCAAGAATACGTGGCATTCGTTCTAGTATATTATGTACAGTACTGGTATATATCATAGCCAGACAAAGCTTTCTACTGTATCAATGATTCCTGTGTCTCATTCCGGATCCAGACTCAGACCAAACCCAAGAAGAAAGAACAATCTTTCTGTGATGATTGCAAATCAGTCGTCGAATTTTTAAAAAGCTACATCGATGATAATGTCACTGAGGTATATATATGTCTATATGTATTTATTGCACGTGCGGTGGAACCCTCAGATTAAGATTAAGGGGGGACATTCACGGGGGCAAAAATATTTCACCCCCTGCACATTATGGTATTATGCTCATGTGAATCAATGTTCTTCTTTGTTAGGAGGATGTGAAGGACGTTCTGGTGGAAATATGTGACTTACTTCCTGCAGACGACAGTAAACAGGTACGAAATTCTTTACCTAGCATAGCCTGAATTAGCACTGTTATTTTCACCCAACACTGAATCGACGCCTTTCTCTCTCTCTCCCTCCCTCCCTCCCTCCCTCGTCTCTCTCCTAGTGTCTCGAATATGTGGATACATACTTCCCCATAATTTGGGATCTTGTAAAACAAGAAGTGGTGAGTTTGGCCCCACCTTATGTCTGCCAATTCTTTATCAAATTTCCATGGTCTATAGGACAGTGGTGTCATTTGTGAGCAGCTTGGATTTTGCAACAGCACTACTCTGGTTAGGAATATTATTTAATGCCAATGTCATATGTAGCATTAACAATAGTATAATGAAAAAGCACTAAAGCGCAAACCCTCGGCGAACTGCGCATGCGCGATACTGCTAATTGATGGGCTGGGCTATTGGCGTTTACTCACGGTCTCCCGCTAGTAGCTCGCAGAGAGTCTGACACTGGCTAGCTACAGTAGTAGATAGCATGCGGGAGTCGATACACGCCATTCGTTGTGACTTCTTGTGCCTTCAAGGTACACAGAGCGAGCGGACCCGGTCGCGGTAAGCCCAGTGCGATTATGCATATTGGCTTTTTCGCTTGTTTTCACGGCATATCTCTCGAATGCAGTCGTTTCAGGAAAATCGCCCTTTTATTTTTCAGGCTCGCGTAGTTCTGATTTCCCCCATGCAAAATCCGAACCCTCAAATCTGTCCCCCTCATTTCCCTGTGTGTGTAGGTGGCAGTGCTGAAAGCTCAAGCGATGGCTCCCAAAACTATAAAATGCGAGGCCTGCCATGCGATTGTAAGGATGTTGCGACCCCTTGTCGACAGTACTACTGTTGAGGTGAGTACAGATGCATATATACCCACTTTGACCTCTTATAGGGAATGTGGCTGTACTACATTATGAGGGCTAAATTTAGAAATTGTTACTGAAAATGGAAACTTAATTGCATTCTTGCTCTGGGCCCTATTGTTTAGTTCTATGTACTGACACATTCCCTCCCTCCCTCCCCTCCTTCCCTCCCTCCCTCCCTCCCTCCCTCCCCTCCCTCCCTCATCCCTCCCTCCTCTACAATTTGCAGGGCGTTGTAAAAGTAGACCTAAAATTCGTCTGTGACCGGTTACCGTCTCAGTACAAGACTGAGTGTTTAAACTTTCTCGATCAAGACTACCAACTTATCTGGGCTGTTTTCAGAGATGAAGTGGTAACATTTTCTTTGTTAAGAATGCAGGCATGTTACTGTTAGCACCATGAAATCAAAGTATGAGATATTTTGTAGTTTCATAGAATCTCCCAAAAACGGTAACTGAATATAGGAAATTTTAACTGAATCCAGGAAAATTTTACAGAAACGTAGCTATTGCACAACCAACGGTGAAATAATTGTCTCGATCTTTCACCAATTTCTGTATATATATCTGTGTGACTTCCAGGACGATGGCGAACTCTGTGGGTTGCTCAAGTTTTGTACATCAGCCACGCTTCCTAAAGTAGAGGTAGGAGTATATACATGTTTGTGTGGGGAGAGGGGGAGAGGGGGGGAGTAATGGAGGGAGGGAGGGCCCACTTGCAAAAGTTACACTCTGAATTCACATACTATTTAAAGGCAATGGGGCACTACATAAGGGCTAAATTTAGAAACTGTTACTAAAAATAGAAAGTTATTGCATTCTTATATCTTTAGCTAAGTTTAGCCCATTTTGTGCCAACACATTCCCTTTAATTAAGCCCATGATATGCAATGTATCTTTATTGCGTGAGACAATGTTACAATGAACTTCAAATGTATGGGTATGATACACCGTGCATGGTTACTATGTGCTCATGCATATATAGGTTGCAGTAGCCAAGCAAGCTTCTAAAGCTCCTGAGGTTTGATTATCTTTCTCTATCAGTTTCAGTTTAAGGCTCTCTACTGTTTACTTAATTTCGCCTTCGTTCAGATTCCAGGCCTTTGCCAACTCTGTGAATTTGTTGTGGGGGAGTTGGAGAAAAAGTTGTTTACCAATTCGTCTGAGGTTCGTTCTCTCGTCTCCGATTATATAACACCAGGTGACTTTCAATTTTGATATCTTACGTCTCTGAAAATGTAGGCGTATCTTCTGGGCGAGCTTAACAAAATCTGCAATGATACTCCTGTGGAGTGGAGAAAGGACGTAAGTGTGACGAAAAAATTTATACTTATATACAACCGAAATTGAAGATTTGACTCATAGTAAATTAACATTTTAATGAAATCTTTTCTTCAGTGCAAGGACTTTGTGGAGAAATACGGAAAAGATATAATTAAACTGGTTTTGGAAGGAGTTGGGCCGAAGCTTGTGTGTACGGCAATCCAGGCCTGTTCGTTAGTGACCAAGACAGAGACCGTCAGTTTCGATTCAAAGTCAGAGACGGATTGCGAAGTGTGTCAAATGATTATCGGTTACCTCAAGAATATTCTGGGTCAAAATTCCACCGAGGTATGATTTATAGAGTAACGAATGTAACACGCTTACTGTGAGCTAACACAACAGTTACACTTGATTGCATCGTTTTAAATTTCTATTTGATGAGTTACATTCATACTACATTACTGCAATGTGTGACAATTCTGTCGGATGTCATATATTTCAGACAGCAACTAAAGTATGTTCGTTTCTCTTGCCATTTTTTCTGTTTTCGCTTACAAACAAAAACTTTATTAGTTGGTTTTGTTTGTTTTTTAGGGTGTGGTGGTAGATGCACTGGTGGAAATCTGTACTGTGCTGTTTCCTGAGCCCCTTCAGGATGAGGTATATACATTCAGACGTGATGCATAGTAACGAAGGACACATTCTGTAACCATGATATTTCAGAGTGGATCGCCTTTACTAAATTTTAAGTCACGTAATAATGCTGTTGGTTACTCAATGCATCACGATTTGAACGTGGTTTATGAGCTAAAAACAATGGCTGACCGTGACTCCAAACGTAGTATATAAAACCGAGTATATTAAATTGTGGCTTTGGTTTCAGTTTGGGTCTTGTTTGTTGCTAATGTAGCCTTTCTCTTTCAGTGCTCTGCGTTTGTCAAAGAGTACGGTGCCCAAGTTGTGCAACTCATTCTTGAAGATATCGACCCAAAGGAAATTTGTCAGGTAACAATAGAGAAGTGATGAAGAGAGGGAGGGAGGGATGGGAGGGGAAGTAGGAAGAAGAAGGGGGAAGGGGCATCTAATGAAGTAACATGTTCAAAAGCTCACCATTATGCAGAGCATGCCTGCACAACTCGCAGCAGTAGAATAAGAAGATGCTGTTAAAAGGGTTGCAATCTTGTTCTGGCCACTATATATTTAGTTATGATCTTTTTCTACATTTAGCCCTGATAAACTCTCTTAAACACTCCTCTTCCCTCTGTCAGAAAATCGATCTGTGTCCAAAGTTGTCCAGCAGTGATCTGGCATCTCCGTGGAAGAAGATTGAGAGAGCATTTAAGCACGTTTGAAAACGCTCATCATCTTCGCCAGCTTGTTTAATATTTTAGAACTTAGTGCTTCGAGGCACACGTTGTATACATGTATAGTACCATTAATTTTATTTTAAGACAGTGTGTTTATTTGTTGGGACACGTAATTTGTTGTTCTCTGTTCTAATTTATAATTTTGCCATGTATTGCTGTAACAATAGATAACTTATAGTAGAGAGAATGCAGTGTTTGATTATAGTGGCGGCAAGAGAAATATTTTCGCGTAAGAAGAAGCGCTCAATTCGAATCCATGCGCAATTGAAAGAAGTATCAATGTACGCATAAATAATTGTACACAAAATAATCGCGCCATTCAGACCATTAGGTAGTTATGATAGTGAGAAGTCACATGGTACAAAGTTCGTAAAAGTGTTGTGTTGTAAGTTGTAAATTCGCCTGCCCAGTTCGACAAGTTCTCGCTCCAAAGGTTGAAGGGGTCAGGTGGAGGCTCCGCCCCCTCAGATCCAGCGTCTCCGACTAGAGATCTCCATGATTGGAGCTCTTCCGACCAATCAGATTGCTCCCTTCTCCACACCTCAACCAGATCACTGCTCAACTGCTACTATCTCAACGTCATCTACATCATCGTCGAGGAGACCGTACATTCCACTGGCTGATCCTGAAAATCAGAAATTTTTCACATTATTTGTGTATATTGGTTCCCCACAACATGAAAGTATAATAGGCTTACCGTCAGTGATGATGTCATCTTTGAGGACTGAGTCTCTCCAGATTTGCCTGAAAGACAGCCATGTTGCCCTGGCAGACTCCCACTGTACTGTGTCTGGCTGGCTCTGGTCCCAGTCTATTGTAATGAAGACAGACTGAGCAATTAGCTACATAGTATGTCTCAACAACTTGGTAGCAATGCAAACAAGTCAACTACACCCAGGACAGCTCTAAAGAAGAAGAGTTGCCCTGGGTGGGCGTATGTGCAAGAAGACAGAGTTTTTATGACAGAGCAAGTGTGATTCGAATAGTCTGGGTGTAATATAGTTGGGTTGTTTTTCTTTTGCTTTTCCTTGGGACAATTGCTGCTGGCTATTATTTTCACATGCACACGCCCTAGCAAAGCCCGCTATAAGTTTTTGCTGGTATAATATGCAAAGCTGAGTTGTGCTGTAAGGTATTGCTTCAGCAAAGCATTAGAGGTATACTGACCTATTTCAGGTAGTTCCAGCAGTCCGCAACGAGCGGCCGTCAGTCTCCAATCGCGCAACTCTGCGTAGAACTCGCACAGTTGTCTTCTCCAGACTTCTGCAAGAGAAACGACATCCGTAACAAGAAGAGTTGGTGCTAGCTAATTTTGCCTGGGTTGCAGCGTGCGGAGCAATCTGTTTCGTCAGCACACTGGGCGTAGGTTGGGTGGTAGTGCAACGTCACGGCGACCAGAAACAGGAAGAAGTTCCTCAACATGGCGGCCAATCAGCTTGGTAGCTGCAGCTTCGATTCGTGTGCGTGACCCGCCCTCCTTTTTGTGCACGGAAAAATAGGCGTGGCCTATTTCACGCATGCGCACAACTGCGTAAGAAAATGGAGGAGGCGGCTGGTGGTAAGCTAGTTAGTTCCATCTGTGTGTGATTTTAGCCACACCGTCCTTCTCCCCCGCCACACCACAGATGAAGGAGAGAAAAGAAAGAAGTCTGGTAAAAAAGTTGCCATCCCCAAAGACAGACATGCTCCCAAGAAGCCCATCACTGCCTACAACCTGTTTGCAGCTGACGAGAGAATTAGGGTGAGAACACTCAGAGCAATTTTCCCTATACATTCCACCAGACTGTCATGTGCTGTCATGTGACTGTCCTCGTATAAACTCTGTATCTTGTGCATATTATGTAGCCAGCTTATTCAACGGTGCGTGGCGTTTTGATAGCCTCTGCTATCGTTTCAATTCCTGCTTATTTTTGTTCAAGGGCGCCCGCATCCATTAATACATCCCTTTATATTTTCCTTATTTATATTTCACAACACTGTATATTCATACATCCGTTTTCTACTCAGTGAAAATTTACTGAGATTATGCCTATGTATATACAGAGATTTCCTTTCTTAGCAGGTTCTTCTTTATTGAGAGTGTCTATTGGTTATGCATCTCTCCTTAGGGGACATCTACCTTACTTTAAATTATTACATATAATTATACAGATGAAGAAGGAGAACCCCGATCGGTCATTTGGAGAGATGAATCGAGAAATTGGAAGTCTGTGGAACACAATTGGCCCCGAGAAAAAACAGGTCTAGTTTCTCCAGAAATGAAAGGTCTTACTCTCACCACATTTATTTGATAGGGGCGGTGGTAGAAGCATTAGTCCCTTGTTAGAAGCCGTGAAGTTTGAACCTAAGCACACATCAGCTACTGCAAATAGGTTTTTCTTAGAAGAAGGAAGAAATTTTGGCAGCAGCGTTCTTACTCTATCAATCCAGCCATACCTGGATCAGGCAGAGGTAAACAGACAGAAGTACATGAAGGAGGTCGAGAAATACCAGAAGAGCGATCACTACAAGAAGTACTTGCAGACAGTTGCTGGTACGGCAAAATCTCTCTGATGTGAAACTTTGGAAATTGGCTAAATCTTGCCTTTTGACAGTTACATTTGGAGCCACAACAAAGATCTGCTGAATTTAAGCAGTGTGCATATAACTGCCTAATGTACTTTCGCTAATCAAAACTTTAACCTTCATATTTGATGACCTATAATTATATCATAGTTTTATGTCTGTTTTGTGTGTCCATTTTTGTAGCTCTGCAACAAAGGCAACAGCGGAAGAAGGTCGAAAAGGAGCAGAAGAAGAAAAAGAAATTGTCCTCTTCCAAACAGCCGCCGCAGGGAGAAGAGACGGCTCCCGCCGAGCCAGCCACAGAGTCCCCCTCCCTCCCTCCTCCCTCTCGGCCTCCTCCTCTCTCGCTCAAACAGAGCTTCGTAGCTGGAACTGAGATTCCCGTCTTCACCAACCTGTTTCTCCTCCACAACAGAGGTAATTATCGCTCTCTTCGCCATAGCACGCGCCCACCACCACGTGGTGAAGTACGTGGGCCGTGTCCGTACGTCGTAGTGCGCACGTGTCGAAATTATGCGCTTTTATTTCTTAACCTAGTATAATTATATATACACACATTATACTACCTTCAACTGTTACATAACTGCACTCTCTGGTAACTATCTTTCTCCTCCTTTCTCTTCTTTCTCCATTCTCTCCTCCCTCACACCCTCACAGAGCTGGAGGTACAGGTGAGGAAGCTGCGTCAGACCACAACAGACTTGGAGGAAGAATGCGCTCTAATCAGTCGCCACGTCGACAACATGAAGAGACAGACCGTCAGACTGGAGTCCGACGTTCAGAACCAAATCCTCAAGAACCAGATTCTTAAAAAGAGACTCGTCTTCTTGCAAGAGACGATCAGTGACACGTTTGGGAGTTTGAGTATTCCCGGGATCCATTCCGTTCCGTCTGTGGACACGATTCAGGAATACCTGAAGGAGGTGGAGTCTGTGGTTGCCAAGCAACCGGCGGGCGAGGATAAACAATTCGACGAGGTTTTTTTCACGGTGAGGAGAGTTGCCAAGGAGACGATGGAGAGGGTGAGGGAGAGAGAAGAGGGAGAACAAGAAAATAATACTATGGACACTACCAACTGACGTTTGTTCAACCATTTTTCCTTCCAACTTTTTTTTAAATCTACTTGTTCTACGGCCCTGATATGCATGTGATGATAATTTTAATTTGTGACACATACACCATTATAATTAGCAACACTGTCCCCACACCCACAATATACAGCAAAGTTTAAAAATATAGGAGCTTGCACGTGGTGTATATAACTATTCATTCACAGATCATTTCAGATTTCCATAACCATGATACACATAAGGTGATGACTAATAATGGTCTAAGATGGCTCCCTACATGGACTAGTATATATGTATAATATGGTTACGTATAATTATACACAGAGTGTTTTCCACATTTCTTCAGGCCAGCGGGTTACGAAATTTTTCGCCGGCAAACTTGGCCTTGTCCCCGAGCTCTTCCTCGATCCGGAGTAGCTGGTTGTACTTGGCCAGTCGCTCGGAGCGACACGGTGCGCCCGTTTTGATCTGCCCCGTACACAGCCCCACGACGAGGTCGGCGATAAACGTGTCTTCGGTCTCCCCCGAGCGATGACTCACCATTACCCCCCAGCCGCTCGCCTGCGACAGCTTGCACGCCTCGATCGACTCGGTGACCGAACCGATCTGGTTCACCTTCAGCAGGAGAGCGTTGCACGCTTTTTTCTCGATCGCCGTCCGGATTCTCTTCGGGTTCGTCACCAAGAGGTCGTCGCCGACAATCTGAATCGTCATCTTGGACGTCACTTCAACCCAGGCGTCCCAGTCGTCCTGATCGAAGCAGTCTTCGATGGAAACTATTGGAAAATCGGCGACAAAGGATTGGTACAGCTCCGTAAGCTGGGACCCAGTCAACCAATCGTCGCTGTTTGAATTTGGGTTCTTGAAGTCGAGGTCGTATTTTCCCCCCTTGTGGAATTCAGAAGCAGCTGTGTCCATTCCGATTTGGACCCGTCCGGTGTACCCGGCCTTTTCTATGGCTTCTCGTAGAAGCTCCAGTCCCTCGCGGTTGTCCTGGATATTGGGGGCAAACCCGCCCTCGTCACCCACGTTCGTCGCGTCTTGTCCGTATTTCTGTTTTATGACCGACTTGAGCGTATGGTAAACCTCCGCGCCCATCTGCAGCGCCTCGCGAAAGCTCCCCGCACCAGTCGGAAGAATCATGAACTCTTGCATGGCGAGTTTGTTCCCCGCGTGCGAGCCCCCGTTTATTACGTTGAACGCCGGGCACGGAAGGATTACGTCCGCGTGCCCCGCTAGATCCGCGATGTGACGGTAGAGCGGGACCCCTTTGTGCGCGGCGCCTGCCTTGCACACGGCGAGAGAGACGCCGAGAATGGCGTTGGCTCCCAGCTTGCTCTTGTTTTCCGTCCCGTCCATTTCCAGCATTATCGTGTCCACTTCCCCCTGCTTGGTAACGTCGATGTTTTTGGCGATCAACGCCGGGCCGATGATCGTGTTGACGTTTTCGACGGCTTTCAAGACCCCCTTTCCCTGGTAGCGCTGCGGGTCCTTGTCGCGGAGTTCCAGGGCCTCGTAGATTCCTGTAGAAGCGCCCGATGGAACGGCAGCTCGGAACGTTCCTTTGCTGGTTGTCAAGTCGACCTCGACCGTCGGGTTGCCGCGGCTGTCGAGGATCTCGCGGGCGTGAATGCGGGTCACTCCAGACATTATCCTTTCCACACAGAGATCTCGATCGGCTAGAAAAAAAGAGGAGGAGACGTGAAAAGCGGCAGCTGGCGAGTGAGCGTGGGGGAAGTTGGGTCGGGTCGGAGGTCAACGATTCGCGATCTTTATCGCGACCCAAGCCGGCCGGAAGCGGCGCGCGCGAAATAAAGGATTCTTCCTCCGTAAACTACAAGTGCGATATCCGGAGTTCTCATCCGACAAGGTGTGTCACTCCGTGTGCCCTCCGGAAAGAATGGCTGGTTAGTTGGTGACCTTCTTGGTGGGATCACGACGCACAGGGACACCGTCACGGAAGAGCGAACGCCGGACAAGGAAAACGAACAACGAAAGGCCCACTTGTCCGACTGAGTATCTGAAATATACCTACGAATTTTAGCTACAGAACGACAAAAGACGGATTGATCGAAGACTGGACGAGTGTAGTTTCTCGTGTGGTTAGCTAGGGAGTATCGTTCGCCTTCTGATAGAGGGGAGAGCGAGGCGGGCCGGAGAGATAGAGCGGGTCGTAATGGGCGACTCGTGGTCGTGTCTGTCTTGTCTCGGAGCGGAAGAGGCACCAGTAAGTGGAGGGAAGAGGCGAGAACGAGAGATAAAGAGGGGGGAGAGTGATAGAAAGAGGAGAGAGAGAGAGGGGTGGGGGAAGGGAGGATCTAACAAGTCGGTGTACACAAGTCTTCCTCTCCCATGTTACATGCTCTACCACCACTAACTTGGTACTGAGCTGTGCAAGAGCTGTGCCAGGGCCTACATAATCACCAGTCGGTGTGTTTTTTGCTCACTTCAGAGATGTGTCTTGTGTGTTGAGTTGGGTGCCCGTGATGTTTGTCAATACTCGGATTTATCAGTGGCTTTTGGTTTCGTATTGCAAACCGAGTGAATCACCTATGCACGGGCTAAGGCTTGCAAGTTTTTACCACACGTATATACAGTTGTTGTGGCCAATTCCTAGGTAGACGTATACCTTTAGGCAGTCGTAGTAACAGCGAATTTTCAGTGATGTAATGCCGGTAGCTGTGCAAGTTTTTGATAAAATTTTTCTCCTCCATCAATAGATTTCCAAGTTTTTTTGGTACGTTGTTTCATGTCCTGGGCAAGGGAGTGGAGTTTAGGGACCTTTGTTTTGAAAGCTAGCAGTCACATGACTTGTAGAAGATCTCACATGATTGTCACATGACAGCACCTGTCCATGTATTAACGTTCTGTGTATAAACTTTGCTCTACCCAGTGACCCTGCCATATAGGGCTATGGAGATGAAGTCCACACTACTCCGTAACTGTTCTATTTTTAGAACTCGTGTGGTAATTTTAGAAACAGGCAGTGTTACAGATACACACACAACACAGCCATTGTATTGTTGTCTGTGATAAATTGTATGCATACACAGCAGTGCTAGCTAGTTCAGCATAATCGTACTTTTTGGAATCTCGCATGCTTTCACTTACCCCGACACTATAAAGAAATAATGTATCGCTATTTATCATAATACTGTGCAACCTCTATTAATATGTGCTCCAAATAAAGAGCACCTCCATAAAGGACGTCTGGTGCTAATACTGTAATGAAATTTTGACATCTAAGTAAAGGACACCTCTACTAAGGATTAATGGACCATGGATTAAAGGGGACTGTTATGTAAAGGAAAGTTTTCATGTTTCCAGAGTGCCATTTATTAGATGGTTCCACTGTTGTGTTTCCGTATTTGGCAAGCAAAAACTGCATTTTAGACTCCATATTTGGCATTGGTATAGAGTGTGTGTGTGGCTTTCCTGGGTGCCTCTATATAAATGGGAAAGTGATTGGGTGCGAAAAGTTGAACAATTTAACGGTAAACCACCGTACCAAATACACTGCCATTCAGAATGGATACTGCGTATAGTGTTGTAATATAGGGTCCTTAACTGGAGGTGTAAATGCTGTTGGCACACAGAGTTCCATGGTGGCAGTGTCATATAGAGCCATGAACTTGGTTGTTCCTGCATGTGTGGGCTTCAGCTAGTGGGTGATATACACACACACACCATAGGGACACTGTGGCTATGAGCACACCATTCTAGTTGCCATAAATACCTGTATATGTATAATTATAGCACCACCGGGCTGCTGTATTGTACAGGAACTGTTTTCATGTACTTATTGTAGCACCTTACAAGATGTCTACAGGACGCTGTACGTTATCAGTGGACGAATCTACAGGGCTTGTATATTATAATGTTGAGTGGAGAGTGTGTGCTGTACTTGCTACAAGGGATTTCCTTCCAAGTAATGGTGGAAGCCATTTTCTAGCTGTGGTCAGGATTGGTTACAGTAGTATAATAGGAGAAGGACATCAATCCCTATTAGTTTGGGTATCCAATGACTGGCTAAGATAACAGCATGGTACTCCACTCTATTTTGTGAGCGAAATTTGGCAAAAAGATGTTTCGATTCCTCCCTACGTTTTATCACTATTATATTCACTGTATTGCACCTCATGTTCATATGGTGTATGTTCGTTTGTTAACGGTTCCGCCCATTGCTCTGGGTGCGTGGTCTATGGCCCTAGTGCTATGGCAGCCACCTGAGTATTATTATCATCATTCACTGTATCGCATGGGTTATGACTATAACAGCAAGACAACAAGTATTGCCAAGCAGGCAGACAGACCTGTACTTCCTAATAAGTATATTCCACCCACAATGGATCGTCTGTGTACGATGATTACTTAGTCACGAGTGTGACGGAAATTAATAAGGTGTGGCTTTCTCCCATGGCCACCTAGTGAAAATCTTAACAATGGTCACAGTATATAGGGACACCGAAGTGTCCTTTATTCAGAGGTGTCCCTTACAGAGGTAGCTAATGAGTATGGTCCACAGGTGTCCTTAGTAGAGATGTCTTGTTCATAGGGTCGTTTTTCTGAGGTTTCATATTGATTATGTGTGGCTGAGGTGTACTGTAGCTCTGTACTGTAAAGTATTGCATCAGTTGGTGTTGTAAATGTTATCTGTTGATGAATCAGTGTATAGGTGTAGTTCCTGTAGATCAGTTGTAGATGGTGTAAGTATCAGCTACAGCTTGGCCCATTATCTCATACAGCTGTGCTTGCAATAAAATGGTGACCTCATAATGAAGTCAATTTGGGGAATGTATGGGAATCTAACACTGGACACCCAGAGGAGGAGGAATTTGAGGAATGTTAATTAGCAAGATACCGTAATTGAATAGTGCTTGCTGTGAAGTTGGTCTTCTTTTACACAGCCACCACGGAAAAGAATTGATCGTAGTATGATTGGAATACCTACAAACTTTCGGGTAAGATTGTATATCTCTGCTGGCTTTTGCATTGTGTTGAGTATTTTTCCATTCTCTCGCTTTTCCCCACATCTTTCTATATCTTTTTCGCTCTCTTTATTTCCATCTCCCTCCTCCCTCCTCTCTCCCCTCATCAGCACACAGGCCACATTGGAAGTAGTGATCTAGGAAGTGGAGGGAGTGGAGGGAGTGGGGGAGGGGGACGGGGACGGGGACGGGGACGGGAAGAAGGAGGAGGGGGAGGAGGAGGGGAAGGAAATGGGTCTGGGAATAATGTAAGTCGCCATTCTTTAAATCTTCCACTCTCTCTCAATATCTTATCTCCCTCTTCCTTCCTTTCTCTCCTTCTTCCCCTCTGTTTCCCCTATTCTTGCTTGCCCCCTCTCATGAAATTGCTTGTTTTCCTGCAAATCCAACAGGAAATGTGTCTTTATTAGTGAGGTGTCTTTGGGAAAGAAAGGGTGTCCTTATTTGGAGGTGTCCTCATATCGGGGGCGTTCTCTGAGAGGGGTTCTATTGGGTACACTAACAACTCCATTACGCTAGTGTATTATCAGTGACCTTGTAATATTAGCAAAGGCTACTTTTGGTCTGAAGCCAATTGTAATACACAATGGTTGGACCTCTCCCTCACTTTGTGGTCACTCCCCTCTCCCGTTCCCTTCCCTCTTCCTTCTTTTTCCTTCCTACTGTTTGCCTCTCTTAGACCTCTCCCTCACTTTGTGGTCACTCCCCTCTCCTGTTCCCTTCCCTCTTCCTTCTTTTCCTTCCTACTGTTTGCCTCTCTCAGACGTCTCCCTCACTTTGTGGTCACTCCTCTCTCCTGTTCCCTTCCCTCTTCCTTCTTTTTCCTTCCTACTGTTTGCCTCCATTGCCCTCTCTTAGACTTCTCCCTCACTTTGTGGTCACTCCCCTCTCCTGTTCCCTTCCCTCTTCCTTCTTTTCCTTCCTACTGTTTGCCTCTCTCAGACGTCTCCCTCACTTTGTCGTCACTCCCCTCTCCTGTTCCCTTCCCTCTTCCTTCTTTTCCTTCCTACTGTTTGCCTCCATTGCCCTCTCTCAGACGTCTCCCTCACTTTGTGGTCACTCCCCTCTCCTGTTCCCTTCCCTCTTCCTTCTTTTTCCTTCCTACTGTTTGCCTCTCTCAGACCTCTCCCTCACTTTGTGGTCACTCCCCTCTCCTGTTCCCTTCCCTCTTCCTTCTTTTCCTTCCTACTGTTTGCCTCTCTCAGACGGCTCCCTCACTTTGTGGTCACTCCCCTCTCCTGTTCCCTTCCCTCTTCCTTCTTTTCCTTCCTACTGTTTGCCTCCATTGCCTTGCCCTCTCTTTCCTTTGTTGGTGTATATTTCCTTTCACTCCTCCCTTCTGGTCTATAGTGAAACCTCTGAATAAGGGACGCCTTGCGGACATTGAAAGTGTCCTTTTATTCAGTGGTGCCCCTTTATAATACACTAATGTATTAGTATGGGGCAGAACCAAGTGTCCTTTATAGAGAGGTGTCCCTGTGTATTAGTATGGGGCAGAACCAGTGTCCTTTATAGAGAGGTGTCCCTATGTATTAGTATGGGGCAAAACCAGGTTTGGAGGTTCCATTTTATCCTCAACCGTCTCCCATTTTCTCCCCTCTTCTGTTCTATCTAAAAACAAACTCCCTCCCCACCCACCTCTCTATCCATACGACCCCCAGTTATCATCGGTGCAGACACAAATGCAAAGTAAAGGCGGCTACGACTATTCCACTCCAGTACCAGAGTCCGCAACACCTTCAGGCAAACTCGTGGTGAGTTGATACACTAATAGTGACAGTGTTTGTTTTAACGAGGTTCCACTGTATATATAATAATATATCGAAATCTCGCGGTCTTCAGCGTGCATGTAAAACTCAGTATGCCTGCGAGTCACTGAACTCTGCATCCAGAAGCCAAGGGGCCCTATATAATATTGATCTAAGAAGTATGGTGTCTTGACCATGGGGAAGGAAGGTTTGCAATACTGTCACGTTCAACCCGAATACGATGCCACCATTATGTTGTAACAAGGTTATTTCATTCTAATTACATTTCATGAAGTGGACAACTGTCTGTAATGAGGGTGTATATGTGCTTTTAAGTAACGTTTCGCCAGTAAAAGTACTGAAGACCTGATCGCACAAGACGGTTGTGCGAAGGCTTCTTTAAACCCACTAGTATCTATTGACTATTCATTTTGTGATAATTATATTTATTTTTCCTTTCTCTCTCTGTTCCTCTACCTCCACAGCGGACGTCAGAGTGAATTGCTAACTAGGAGCATCTGTGTATAGTAGATAGACAATTGCTGCGCATCTGCAAAATTTCACACTTGTATTGCAAAACTCCTCTGTAATTTACCACATACTCTCTCACTGATACCAAGTACAAGACAAGTGTTCTGAAAGGGTTAATTTTCGTCTCTCTCTCTCTCTCTCTCTCTCTGTACACATACGCACTTTGTTTGCTGGTTTATTAACTCTTCTCTCACTGGGTGCTCAAATTAACCCCTCTCTCACTGGGTGCTCACATTAACTCCTCTCTCACTGGGTGCTTCTCTCTCTTTCTCTTTTAGAAGTTTGTGTAAACAAGTACAATAGGTGACGGTGTGTATTATTTTTTGTAAAATATCTTGCTATTTATTACACATTTTTCGTTGTAACCGTATGTTCTGATGCGAAATGTATGCTACTAATCATTGCGCACGCGGTATTATAATTATGCGCATGCGCTAAGATCCGGCGCTAAATAAATGCAATAACAAACTAGCCCCGCCCCTCTCAACGTTGAAGCGACGACGACTGAACTCTAAGCGCCATGCTGACAAGAGAAGAGTTGGAGGACCTTCGTCCGTGGGTTGGGGGCCAGGTGACGGTTCTGGTGGGCCACCTGAACCCCACTCTAGTCAACCAGAGTCTCGAGTGCGTCGCTAAAAGCTTCAGTCGCCAGTCGACGACAGGTGAGCCGGTGCGGTGTTCCAATTAGAGCGCACCACCCTGTTTCTCGTCACTGTGGTGAAAGCGAGTGCGGGCTCTCTCTCCGTCTGCAGCTCTGTTGATGCCGGCACTCGGAGCCGACGCGCCGAAATTCGTAGAAAACCTGTACAGAAAGGTTTTGGAGGTACATGTGCTAGTGCATGGCGTTATTTCACGCTCATACTCAACTTGTCTTCACAGGTAAAATCTTCCAAATTACTGACCGCGAAACGCAGTGCAGAGGTGAGCTAGTGTTAATATGCTGTCAATATGCAGCATTGTATAATGTAGTGCATAGTGGGAAATGTTTGGGGGGGGAACGTTTACCGTTGGGATTTCGTATTACCATAATGTTGATATGAAGTGACATACAAAGATGATTTGTGTGTGTGTGTATATAGGATGCCTTTGGAAATGGGGAGGAAGACGCTGGACCGAGAAAAAGGAGGCAAAGGTACCGTACGTTGTAGTGTATGTGTGTGTAATCTCATTAGTTCAGATCCACAAGTGCTGCGCTCCTTATAAACGGGTGATGCCAGAGAGAGAAGTTGCGGTATGCTCTGTTGATGAGGGCCAACAAGCCCGAAACAGCTGTCCAGAGCTCCCCATCTTTTTTCTCTTGGCATCACATGGTCTAATACCTTCATGTGATGCCTGCGTCCAGTGTGTAAAACATACGTGTATTGGTGTAATCGTGCCCAGTGCTAGACCCATTCACTCACCAAAACTTGTGCAAATAAAAAAAAATTCTTGTCCTCTCCATGAAATTGTGAGTTTGGTCTGAATCACACCCAATTTGAGAAACGTCAGGTTGTTAATCGTAATGTTGTCCTTGTGAGGTGGTCTCCGTTCCCTGCAGTCGGTTCTCAGGTGATCCTGGGAGTGACTTGGACGTGAAGTCCATGCTGGCGTCCACCATGAGAGAGATAGGCGAGAGAAAGAGAATGACATTGGTAAATACCACACACTGATGATCATTTTTTGGTGAATCGCTCAATAGCAACTTCTTTCTAGAAAAAAGGTTTCTTGGATTTCGTTGGCAGATGCGTGTGTGTGTGTGTGTGGCACATTAATAAAAACCACAAGTGTTTGTATTGGGATTTCAATTTAACAGTATTAACAGTGTGTTTTATTATGAACAGTGGCGTTTTTTTTTCGTTGACTGACTGGCATGTTTTTTTATGTATGCCTTTTTGTGAAAATTAGGAATTAAGAAGACGAGACCTTTCGTATTCTTATCCTCTCCTTTTTCATCATCTCTCACCCTCCCTCCTCCCAGTCCACTCTGCCGAGTCCAGCCCCGAGTCTCTTCCCCTCACCGCCCTCTCCTCCCGTACCCATCTCGTCATTCCCTGGTGTCGACAGTGCCATCGAGAAGGCCAGAAAAGCCGCAGAGCTACAATCGAGGATTCAGGCACAGCTGGTGGCAAAACCTAACCTCCTAGCCGGTCCTGGTAGCATCGCAGGTAATGGGTTTGACAAGGGTTTCACTCTAATACTCCATATTCCAGTATCCCATCCTCCATTACTCCATACTCCAGTACCCCATCCTCCATTACTCCCTATTCCAGTACCCCATACCCCATCCTCAATTACTCCATACTCCAGTACCCCATACCCCATCCTCCATTACTCCATACTCCAGTACCCCATACTCCATACCACACCATGTTACAGGTATGGATATGGGAGCGCGGGCAATGATCCCCACTAAACCGATGCCTCTAATCCTGGACGAAGAGGGAAGAGCAGTAGACACTGCTGGGAAGACCGTCCAACCTCTCATTAGACAGCCCACTATCAAGGTCATCTGTGATTACATCATAATGACATCATAGTAGTTGTGTAATATTGAATCATTGGTTGTAAATGTAAGGCCCAAGTTCTAGTAATTGAACTATATTATGTTAGTCCAGAAAAAAGTTTTTAAAGAAAAAAAAGCTTCCCTGGGTGGGACTCAAACCCCACGACACTCTCCTCTCTAGGTTTTAAACAGTGACGTTGAGAAGTGCCCCGAAAGTATTACATCATTCAATACATCATTGCAATTGCATCATCAGAGTGATGTCGTGTAATTAACCCCCTCGTGTAGGCCAACATTCGAGCCCAGCAAAGAGCCAGTTTCAAGAGGATAACGGAGCAGGTCAAACGGAAGAAACCGCTCGAGAAAGCAGAGGAAAGCGTGTACTTTGACCCCCGCGTGAAGCAGGAGATGACGGCCAGAAGCAGACGGACTTTCAAGTTTAACGAGCCAGGTGGGGGGGGATCGGGTCTTGTACTATTCATCCTAGTTTGCAAGATTTGTATAATAAACAATTTGGTTACTGGATGTCTATTTTCACTGAACGTCGTTGTGGATAATCCTTCTCTTGCCTATATTTTTGTGAAACCTTTTCCCTTTTGTTATAGTTTAGTTATGTGAGTCTTTTAATAACAGAAGATATGGTCTTCTCTATATATCCTTCTCATGCCTGGCAGGAAAGTTCATCAAACAAGGGCAGATGGTGCGAGCCAAGGCACAGCTCGATCAACTACAGACCGAGATTGCGTCTGTAGCTCGTAAAACCGGTATTTCCAGCGCGACGAAACTGGCTCTACTCGCTCACCAGCGAGAGACGGTGGACAGCGAGATACCGGATGTGGAATGGTGGGATCAAGATATCCTGAGTACCAAGAGGTTTGCCACTCTCTTATTCTCTTGTTTGAATGAGTAGCAGGTGCGTTGTGAAGCCAGGGCAAGTGCAAAGCTAACAATTTAAAGACACAATGAAGTCATGGATAGCTTACAAAATCACATTCTCTCTCTCCCTATTTATCTATCCCAGCTACCACACTAAGATGCCTGGCCTCCATTCAGAGTGTTACAGAGGCATCACTCGTCTCATAGAGCATCCGGTGATGATCAAGCCGCCCGGCGAGCTGTCTCGTCCGGTCCAGGTTCCCATCATGCTCACAAAGAGAGAGAGAAAAAAACTGAGGAAACAGAGAAGGTGAGCTGAATTTTTGGGAGAGTTTCGTTTTGCGCGAGAGCTTGTTGTGGAACGACTTCTCCTACCGCCTCCCGTGCAGACGAGAGGCGGAGAAGGAGAAACAGGAGAAGATCCAGTTTGGCCTGATAGAGAAGCCGGAGCCGAAAGTGAGGATCAGTAACCTCATGAGGGTCCTGGGCTCCGAGGCGGTGCTGGAACCGTCCAAAGTGGAGGCCCACGTCAGAGCACAGATGGCTGAGAGACAGAGGTGAGGACTTTACTAATACCACTGCTGTTGGGTTTTTGGGTATTGTTGATGAGTGGAGCGAAGTAAGCATATAATACCTGAGGCTAGGTTCACAGTATGTCACATTGGCCCGTCGTGCCGTGCCGCGTTGCCGCGCCGCGAGGATAGACTCCATTTCTATCTTCGCGGCAGGACGCGACGCGGCACTCAACTGAATGGTGCGGAAGATGTTGAGAAAGAAACGTATTGTGACCAAATTAACACTGCAGATTTGACAGCAACGGGGCAATGCCGTAATGCTATTCAACTTGTTTTTTCCCCAGAAATCACGAGAAAGCGAACGAGGCAAGGAAACTGACTCCGGCCCAGAAAAAGGCCAAGACTCTTCGCAAGTTGAAAGAAGACTTGTCGTGCGGCGTTCACGTGACGGTGTACAGAGTGCACGACCTCTCGAATCAGGCGATAAGGTTCAAAGTCGACATGAACGCACAGCAGCTCCATCTCTCCGGCCGGCTACTGCTGTTTCGAGACATCAACATCGTGATTGTGGAGGGAGGGCCGAAGGGTCTGAAGAAGTTTAAGAAACTCATGATGCATAGAATCAAGTGGGATCCGGAAAAGAAGGGAGAAGGTATGAGAGAGAAAAGGAGAGTCTGTTGTTTTTGTGGATTTGGTAAATTCATCCGTTTAAAATCTTACTCTATGAAAAAGGAGCTTTAGTATTTTAGGCATAGTTAACGGAAATGATTGTCCATTGAAATATTACCTTCTGGGTTTTTGTTTTACTTCGCAAATTTGGTGATGTTGATGTGCTAAGTTTATAGGCCACCAATATCTCAAGTTAATTGACACCCTATACTTTATTTCCACCGTTCATATAATTTTGTAGATGAGGACTCAGACTCAGACGCTGAGACCAGCCGCAGGCAGAAGAGCAGCAAGTGTTCCATCGTCTGGGAGGTAAGTCTGGTTACAACCAGTCACCAGGCCGTGTTAGGCATCTCGTCCGTTCATATCTACGCAAGTTAGAGGCCCTCAGGTCCTTGACATAGCGTCCTTTCTGCACTCGGAACGCCACAACGCAAGGGCCCTCGGGCTTCCAACACGCGCCTAGATTTAACGGACTCGACTTCACGTAGCGTCCTCGATGCGTTTGGAACGCTACAACGCAAGGGCCTTCGGGCTTCTAACACGCATAGATTTCCCGCTATCTGACTATTCTAACCAGGGAAAGATGGAGAAGAAGTGTTTCGGTGATTGGAAGGTGAAGGGCATTCCGACGGAAGTTCTAGCGAGGGAGCATCTGAGAAGGTTCGGAGTGGAGCACTACTGGGACCTGGCCCTGAGCGAGACCATCATAGAACAGGGGAAGGACGAGTGACACCGGCATATGGGAATGGGGGACTGGGCGTATTGGAGCGGGGGGAATGGGGGATCGGGGTATATGACAATGATATACAAATTGTACGTTGGAGTGAGTATCTTTTCTCTTTATATTTTTTGATTGCCTGCAACTGTTATTATCGCCACACTTATCATCATATTGTGTAATAATTGTCTCTCCTCCAAAGATTAAACTCTGCAAGCTTTGTCGTTCGTCTCTCCTCCAAAGATTAAACTCTGCAAGCTTTGTCGTTCACACGTGTCTAATAGTTGAAGAAGGTTATGGTGCACACACACACACACACCACACACCATATTTAGAGAATGGAACATGTGATATATACAAATGAGATCTCAACATAGAAGATGTAATTATTATAGACACATGAAACCTTACATAGACATTAATGTGTACATGACAAGATCTACAAACAAACACAGGGTTACAATTTGGTGTATATATATGTAGCATGGATGATGACGTGTGAGAGTTATACGGCAGCTATTGGTCTGGTAAGAATGTCCTCCACAACACTGGACTGGTCAGAGGATCTACAGATGCTGTAGTGTGGACTCAGTGATAGCACCTTTGACCCCCGTATCGCCGGGAACCGATGATGGCAAACTAGTATACACTCGGGGTAGTTTCTGGGGGTTAAACTGCTCGAGTTGCTAGGGGTTAAACTCTTTCTCAAGCTGCGTGGTTTGGCGATGGATTTGTTTGGTCTTCGTCTCAGGGCCAAAGGGACTATGCATCTCCTGCGGTGTCTTTTGGTGGTCTTTGGTGGTCTTCTTTTGACGGTTTTGTTGGCTGTGGTGGTGGGTTGGTTTGGTACGTTTTGGTGTTTTGTGGTCTTCTCTGGTCTGTTGGTTTCATGGGGTAGAGTGGTCGTTTGCCCAACCGAACCGGTTCCAGTTTGGTTTGTATTTTCTATGGTTTCGTCTTCATTGTTGTTCACCGGTGGTTGTATTTTGGTCGTTTTTGGCTTGTTTGGTCTGGTCTTTGGTCTCCCAGTGGTACCACTGGGAGAAGAGATTGTCTTTTTGGACGTTGGTGGTGCCGACCGTCGTATGTTTTTAACCCCTTTCTGCCAGGCTCTGCTGAGGATGGTCTTGCTCTGACAGTGTTTGCTGCGAGAGGCAGCTGGCGTGGCAGTGATGGTGGGAGGGTGAGAGGTGACTTCGGGGAAGAGAGAAGATAGATCCAGCACTGTACTGGCCTGATAGGGCATCATCTACAAAAACATATCACCAGAAAGAGAGGGAAAGATGGAGGGGGCATGTTATCTGTACAATGTAAGTGTATGTCAATGCATCTTGGTAGAAATGTGCGCACACTGTATCAAGCAAAAAGTGGTGTTACAAAAGTGTGCAGTGATGTGTTCAAGTGATTAGCCTGGCTCTATTATAGCGTCATCTGGATGTTTAATGGGTTAACGCATCATGCATTATATCCATCATGGAATATATACCTCAAAGTCCATGAGTCTCTCTGTTGTACTGCCCATTCCTGATCCAGGTGTTCTACTAGCATGCAGCGACCTCTGCTGGCACACTGGCTGCAGAACAAGGTGGACATTGTACATACGTAGAGGAACACATGTGAAAAAGATCCTCCTAATAAGGGAGACACCTCTCTGTCAAGGACACTTGGTTCTGTCCCATGCTATTACTGCACACCTCTGAATAAGGGAGACGTCTGTACTATACAATTATGAAGGACACTTCTCATTATTCAGATGATAATTGAAGGGGTCAGAGTCAGAGTGGGCCAACCCTCAATATACAACTCTTGCCGGTTTTCCATCAAATATGTTCTAAATGTCCTTATAGAACAAACTGGCAAGAGTTGTATATTGAGGGTTGGCTCACTCTGGCTCTGACCCCTTCAATTATACAGGAAGAGTTGTTTGTAAGTTGAGTTTACATTTTCTCTTCTCATTTCTGACTCCAGTATGTCAGTCAGGTTGTTGGGTATATGGTGGGCGTGGCTTGGCAGTATTGGTGTACTGGTGATGGGGTACTGTATATAGTGTGAAAGAATGATGACGATAAGAGGGGTTATAGACAAGGCGCTTACTCGCTGATTAGGCTGACGAGTGGAGATGTCTCGTTTGTGTTGTACTATTGGTGTACTGGTGAGGGGAGGATGTGGGGGTGTGGTGACGGCACAGGGAGAGTGGGAGGGAGGCAGGATTGGAGTCTGGAGAAATCACAATAGATGTCCATGCATAGAACTCACACATTGAAAGACCAGATCTTTTTTGTGTAAAGCAGTTACATTATTACCAGTACTACTTGCCACACATCTATATATTAGCACAGAAAGATTCCAACCACTACCAATTCCCAAGCTAAGCTATAATGGTTGTGTGTGTGCGTGCGCGCGCGTGTGTGTGTGTGTGTGATGTGTTTTACTATCTGTAGTTGATTGAAGTGTCGCTCCAGACTGGTCTCTCCACTGCCCCTCTGCTGCTGGTCACGGTATAGAGAGGGAGAACAGACGTCTGAGTAGGGGGACAATGAACAAATCAACCCTCCCTCCCTCTTTCTCTCTACTCCTTCGACAAACTTCTCCCTGCCAAACTTGTACTCGTCACGTTTCCCTGTTGTCTTCTGTCCTTCAGCTACCGATGTGGATGATGACTGAACTCCACCAGTTGAGGCAGATACAGTTTTCTCCCGCCTTCTTCTCTTCGCCTTGCGTTTGATTGTCAGAGAGGCCGTCGTCCTTCTCTTTCCTGGTACTGCAGCAGTAGCTCGTGTTGTTGGAGAGCTCCACATTTTCCTGCTCCTTTTCTTTCTGCTTCCCACAGACTTTGTCAATCCTCCGCTGCTAGTATCTAGTGGTCTGGAGGCCAGTGGAACACTGCCAGTTGGAGAGACTCCCATCAGCCCCTGCAGATCAACACTGTACTTCTTCTTTTTCTTGCTTTCTCTACTGGCTGAACCCACTGGCAAATCTGGCGGATGATAATGTATAAAGCATAACACACACACACACCATCTATATACATATACCGGGACTGATGTGTAAAGGTTGCAGTCCGGTGTCTGGGGAGAAGTAAGACCCTGGGTCCTCCTCTGCCCCTCGAAGAACCTCGATTTCATCGCTCCCGTCTCTCCCTTCAGTACCAATCTCCCCCTCAGGGAGACCTGGTTCTTCGACCAATGACCTCTCACCGATAGTCTCACATGACATCAGATGAACATATTCTAACTCCATGCTTCCTTGAGACTCATTTCTAGCCCCATCTTGTTCCACACTTCCATCTTCTGCTTCTCCCTCTTCCGTTACCTTGCTAGTCTGAGCAATAGTTGGAGCTGAAAGAGGTATAGTGGGGACAGTAGAAGGTTTGTGGAGTGTGCCGCATTGACTCATTCTGCTAAGTTCGTGGGCGAGCGTTTGCTTGAGAAAGTTCAGTTTGTCGTTTATTGACCTGGTCGCAGTTCTGACTGATCCTGGTGCGGCGGAGCAGGTCATTTCCATGCTGACTGTGTCCAGATTACAGGACGGGACGGTTTGAGTCGTCGAGGGTGTCTTATTCGGGGCGTCCGATCTGGAACTGGGTCGGCTGGAGCAAGCACTGGTAGCGGTACTGTCTCTGAGCATTCGTGACGGTAGCTCCATCGTGTCTATTACAGGAGTGTCTGGTGTCAGGAAATGATGCTTCTCCACAACTTGCCTGCCAAGGTACAATACATTACAGTCCTATATGCAATAGCACATTGACTACTTATACTGCAATACTAGTGGTATAGACCACAGTAGTATATAGAATAGGTTCATACTGGATGCTGGTTTTACCTTGGGAGGGCTCTACAGTATGTGTTGACAGTCCGTCTCTTGACCAGGACGGCATAACTGTCTCCTGGTGCCACTTTCCTCGTTTTCCTGCAGGCAGCCACACTGTTAGCTCTCTCACCTTACAATTTTTAAATATATATATACCTTCTGTGCATGCTAACTGGGGCAGCCATTGGTGAATGAGCGAAGAATCTTCTCTTGCCAACGCACAGGCATGCGCACAATTAATCGGTTTCGAATTTGCCGCGCTATTTACGGCGCGCGCGCACGCATACTGCGATATAATTATATCGCGTCGTCATCGCGCGCGCGCGTTTACGAGAGCCACATACACACTTTCATTGGTCAGAACAGTATCAAAGGCATATTATTGTCATGTCCACTGTTCTCTGCAGTCTTTGGAGTTGATTCATCTCTAGTTGGACAAGAGTCAGGAGGGCCTGCTGGCTCCTGAGATCCAACCTTCTTTTCTTCTGAACCATCATCGCTGACAGCTACATCATCACCAGTGATTGTTCTTGCATCACTCTTGTTAGAATGAGTCTCATTTGAACACAGTCTCTCGCGGGGCCAAATATTAATCCCAGGCGTCGGCGTTTTCTGAAACAGTCCGGAAAGATCTTTTGTAGTAGCGTTTTCCTCTGACTGGCTCTCCAGCTCGAGGGTTTTCAAAAGTTCAGCGAGTTTTTCAGACTTTCGCAGCTCATTCTGTTGGATTATGGCACACAGGTGTTCAGACAGTAGCTCCTTGGCCTCTGATGCCTTGTGCAGTGCTAGTTTAGCAGCTACAAATTCCGTCTCGGCCGCGTCGTAGCGTTTCCTAGTGGCAGTGTACTGCCGGTCTGCATCTTCGATCTTGGCTCTGAGTATTGCTACGTCGCGGTTTAGGAGACTGTCTAGCTTTGCCAGTTCCCCTTTCACTGCCTGGAGCTTTTGGTCTCCATCTGACTCTGGGCATACCTGCAGGTATTATGTAATTGTAACATCCTCCTTAGATGAGGACACTTCTCTAAAAATCATATATCTATACCGTTCTCGTAGTGTCTGCTCCAAAAGAGCCTTTTTCTTCTTGTTCTCCTGTTCCAGCTCTTTCTGTTGCCTCTGGAGTAACTCAAGATTAGTTTCAACTACAGCTCTATAGGGGGAAAATATCAATCAACATACAACATGCCATTGGGTGCATATTGTGGGCTATGCTGATTTTGCAGCGCAAAAATGCCAAGCAAATGAGGCTATATTGCACATACTGATTATCCATTTGAAGATCTGGTAAGTTGCTCTCCGTGATGGATTCCTGTGTTGCTGTGCTAACTGATGATGGAGGGTGGTGGTCGCCTCTGTGGTCTTTCTCTGGTTCCTCTTCGCCTGTATTGGTCTCGTTTGGTCTTGTTTGGTCGGATTTGGCGGCTAGTGGTGGTTTCTGAGCTTCTTTGACGAAATACGCTGTTGTCGGCAGTGCAGTACCGTCAGGTGGAGTTCCCCTGTGATCATAACTCTTCTCGCCCCGGGTAATTTTAGCTCGAGGCCGGGAAAAATCGGCCGGTCTGAAGGCCACCTGTCCTGGTTTTATTTCTTGCTGTTTCGTCTGCTGCTGCTTCTGCCGTTGTAGGGTCTTTATTTCCCTGTCGCTAAAGCCACGAAACTCGCTCATACCTGCCATTTGCCGCCTGGGTGCCACGCCTTCTAACGAGCGTCGGGGTCCGTTGTTGTTAATTTCAGCTGGGGGTGCGCGGGGGGGGACAATTTTTAGACCCCGTGCGTAATTAGCCGCGTCATTTTCTTACGTACAAGGGAGAAGACAAGACTTTTTGGTACGACATTCTTACTCGCTAGACAGCGAAAGGAAACTCTTTAAACCTGCACGCAGGGAGAGAGAAGCAAGCTGAGCGGGATTCGTCGTCATGCCTCTGGTGAAGCGAGCCGTGGAGCCGGTGTTTGTGAGCCGCGCGACCCTCTCCTCCAAAATCAAGAACGAACTGGAAGGCGTGGTGGTCAACACGCTCGCCGGGCTCATCAAGCAGCTGAGCAGCGTCTCCAGACACGCCGAGAACCTGTTCGGAGATCTGGTGAACGAAGCCAACGGGATATATCTGCGTACGGTGTCGCTGAGTGGTCGCGTGGCGGGGCTACAAGACAAGATACAGACGTTGGATTCTGTAGGGAAGGAAGACAGTAAGTAGTAGACTTCAGTGTTAGACCCCTCGTGGGGGGAGGGGGATGGAGGAAAGCAGGCCAAAAGCTTTAGTTTAGAAGTGGAGGGGTGGGGCAGGCTTTGTAAAAAATCCGGGAGGTGAACTAAATTGGGTAGGTAAGCAGTTTGCCGCAGACAAATGCGTTAAAGGTATATAGCCTCGGCCAGGAAGACAGCTTTGGCACGAAGCTAGAACAAAGGTGTAGGTAGAGATTGGGAAAGTAAACCATCCAAATTAGGGGCAAAATTTGTGCACACCCATGAGCAAAATTATATACACAAACTTCCCTCTTGATACAAACCACTGATTCGTGTTTGTAAACAACGAGCAACAGCTATAACTGCCTCTGCACAGTGCGGATTGAGGATTCCAATGTCCGTGTGTTCAAAAGCACAAACAAAGAGGAGCAGCAGATATTGGACAGAGGAACGCTGCCCACGGCTCTCCAGGAGGTCTACAGGTATAGTTAGCATAATGATGTATGTAAGTAACCTCCGATAAGGGACCCTCCATGGTAGGGACCGCCCTCTCTACAAAGGACACCTGTTTCAACCCCATGCTAATATTTAAGTACAATTTTGACCTCCGAGATAGGACGACCTCTCTACAAGACATGTTTCAACCCTGCTAATATTAAGTACAATTTTGACCTCCGAGATAGGGACGACCTCTCTACAAGGGACAAAATCGTTGGCCCCACAGTGTCCCTTGTTTGGAGGTTCCACTGGGGAAATGAAAATAGGCAGTGAGAAACTTTTGCTGGAGATGTCTTTCGCCATTAGTTCACCAAAGTCTTTCTACTTTCAGTATATTGAGTTCGAACACAGATCTCTAATTGGAATGTCCGTGCTGCGTTTTTCTCTCTACCCCTCCCCCTCTCCCCTCTCTCCCCTCCCTCTCTCTCTCTCTCTCACAATCAGGTCCTGCAATGCTCCGCCAGCCCTGAGCCATCTAAGTCAATACAGAGACGACGGAAAAGACGGCCTCAAATTTTACACAAACCCAGACTACTTCTTCGAGCTCTGGGCCAAAGAACAGACAAAGCAGATCGAGAAGAAGCAGAAAAAGGTGAAGGATTCTTTATTCGAGCAAACAACATCGAAATCCTTGTCTAAGTACACCCCAAAATGAGGACCCTTTGCTAATAAGGACACATTTTCTAGCCTCGTAAACAGCTCTTGCATGCAATACCCCAAATAAGGACACCAACTCACTGTCCTTATTAAACAGTGTGTTTTAATTGGGGATGATAGTCTCATAGATTGTCACCTGACTTCTTTCATTTAACACCGGATTGAAGCATTTTACTACTGACAGGTGTCCTTTATTCAGAATGTCCATTACCGTACGTCACCTCGCCTTCCCTCCCAACCCAGAAAGCCAAGGGTGCCCGTAAGAAGAAAGAGAGCAAGAAGAAGAAGGTGAAGGCGGTGCAGAAGAAGCAGTATGCCGGAGTTGACAAGGAGTTTATGGAGCAAGCCCACCTCAAACAGGGGCCCGGCGACATAATTATTGGAACCCCTCCAACCACCAGGCATAGCACAGAGATTCACATGAGGGGTGAGGGGTCTGTTTTTCCTCTGCCCCCCTTGTATTTTAACAGTAATTGTAACCCTGCACGTGTATATATACATATAGGTAATAATTCACATGTTTAAGTAACTTTGCGTTGTAGGAATTTCTTATACGAAACACTATGGAAATGTTTTAGTCACATGATATGAATTTATTATACCTGGTGATGGTCACATGATTGTCACCTGATCCCTCTCTCTCCAGAGGCACCTCCGGCTGCACCCCCACCTCCTCAGCCGCTGTCTCACGCGCAAATGGCGGCCCCCACTGTCCCACCTCCCCCTCACGCCCGTGCCCTTCTCATTACAAACCTCTCGGTGCACTCTCCCACACTATATTCACCTCCTCTCCCGGTAAATTATAATCATGTGATAATCACACGTGGACCACATGATCAATTTTCCAGACCCCTCGAATTCTGGATACCCCCCTCCACCCCCTGCCCCCCCAGTAGCAATGGGGACGCCCCCCTCGTCTCATTACTCTCCACAATTAAACTACCCTCAGGTGAGTTTGTGACCTCGGTATGGTGGGACCCAATTTTAACCCTCTTTCTCCCCCCACAGCCCCCTGTACCCCCGCCCCCTGCTCCCCCAGCTAATTTCCCCGCAGCTCCCCCACCACCTCCGGTAGCTTTGGCCCCCCAGAGTGCGGGGCCCCCTCCCCCTCCTCCCCCATCCATGCCTTCCGAACCAGGTGGGCTATAATTAGAACTACAGATCACGTGACTCTCATGTGACATATCACATGACTCAGGTGTTGTCGGTGAGATTAGGAAACCGCCTCCGGAAGTTGACCAGCGATCAGATTTTCTCCTTGCAATTGAAAAAGGTAAACCGCTTTTTCGAAATTTATGTTCTATTTAACCACTCTCTTGCAATTTCAGGTATGCACCTTCGTAAAGTGGAGAAGAAGGATGACAGCAAACCGTCATCTGCTTACGGCAATGACGTTGCTTCCATCCTGAAGCGAAGGTATACTTCGATATTTCTGCCCCAAGAATTCCTTTAATTAGATTTTTCAAAATTTCTCATAGAATTGCCTTTGAGGTGTCTGATACTGAAAGTGAAGATGAAGAATCGGAAGAAGAGGGATCCGATGAATGGTCTGACTGATCACATGACTGGTCACATGACTTATATCGCATGACTCAGTAGTTGTACTAGATCATACAAACTGGACATTCACAAGAATTTCCGTAATTATATTAGAATTGTAAAAATGTGAATAGCTATTTTATTTCCACGTGTGTGTGTGGGTACATAAGTGTGGTACGTGTATTTTGAGGTAATATATGGGTAAAAAATTTTTTATGACAGCTGACATGCATTCCATATGATGTAATGTTAACAAAGTTAAGGCAAAGCACCGCACACAAGGGCCACTGAAAGAGATGTCCTGGGTGTGATTCGTGACCGTTTATTGGCTTGATCACTTGAATTATTTGGACTGATAGAAATGATGTAATTTCACACACGCAAACCACACGCATAAATTATACACACACAAAAAAAAAGGAAAACGAACAAAAATGACAACAAAAAAACTGTGTCACCAACAACATCTAGAACTGCCGTCTCTGGAATCACAGTTGTGAATAGCGTCGCTGGAATCGACCATCACTCGTCCGTTAGCCTCCACCGATCTCGTCGTGTAGAAATAAGCACTCTGCTTCGTGTGTGCAAGAGGGTGCGGAGGATAACTGTGGCTGTTTACTGGCGAAAACGAAGGTTCAAAGTTCGGGTTTGTTGTGAGCTGGTTTTTCTGGTAGAGGCTGATGACTCCCTGAGCCACTTTCAGAAAGGCCTCTTTTATACCTGGAGGAGGGAGGGAGAGGAGATGGAGGGAGGTGAGAGTAAAGGCCACATATGAAGGGTAAGGCTGAATAGCTTAGCATCGCTGTGTATCATTATTGGTGGGAGTTCAATGTGTGTTTTTCATTTTCATTTTCAAGGAGCCTATGGTGAGCAAATTCAGATCCTCCTGCAAAAAACAATAGCGGTAGCACTATATACCGAGTAGGGTCTTACCCATCACCAGCCATGGCTACTTTTTGACTTAATTAGCACTAAGAGTAGGGTCTTACCCATATTTTCAGCGGCAGAGGTCTCAGTGAAAAGGGCTCCTAATTGGTGTGTGAAGACCCATCACCAGCCACCGCTACTTAATTAGCACTAACTGAGTAGGGTCTTACCCATATTTTCAGCTGCAGAGGTCTCGGTGAAAAGGGCTCCTAATTGGTGTGTGAAGACCCATCACCAGCCACCGCTACTTAATTAGCACTAACTGAGTAGGGTCTTACCCATATTTTCAGCTGCAGAGGTCTCGGTGAAAAGGGCTCCTAATTGGTGTGTGAAGACCCATCACCAGCCACCGCTACTTAATTAGCACTAACTGAGTAGGGTCTTACCCATATTTTCAGCTGCAGAGGTCTCGGTGAAAAGGGCTCCTAATTGGTGTGTGAAGACCCATCACCAGCCACCGCTACTTAATTAACACTAACGAGTAGGGTCTTACCCATAATAATATTTTCAGCTGCAGAGGTCTCGGTGAAAAGGGCTCCTAATTGGTGTGTGAAGACCCATCACCAGCCACCGCTACTTAATTAGCACTAACTGAGTAGGGTCTTACCCATATTTTCAGCGGCAGAGGTCTCAGTGAAAAGGGCTCCTAATTGGTGTGCGAATGTCTCCCCTCTGTCTTTGGGCACTTCTCTCTCTCCAGTCAGGTCACACTTGTTACCCACCACACATAATGCTGGGGGAAAGAGGATAATACATTGGAGCCTATGAACAAAGACTCATACTAGGCATTGTCAGATAGCTGTCCTTATTTCATAATTTTCTACAAGAGTTCATAAAAACCTTACCTATCTTTCCATCGACCTTGCTCTCTAGCTCTGTATAATATAAGAAGACACGAGAGAAAGTACGTCGTTATGGCGAAGGTTGCCGTGGAGACTGCTGACCTTTGACCCACTCCTGGGCCTCTTGAAACGACTTTTCTCTGGTGATGTCATAGACAATCATGGCTGCGTTGGCACGGCGATAGTACATGGGTGCCATGGAGCGAAATCTGAGGCAACATGGACAGGTTAGTGATCAGCATCAGGGCAACTCTATTTAGGTCACCTTTCTTGTCCCGCCGTGTCCCATAGCTGTAGCTTTATCCGGAACCCTCCGACTGACCTGATTGGACGATTGAGTCATGTGACTAGGTCATGTGATACGATCAAATTCAAGATGCATGAGAACTCACAAATCACACAAAGTCGAGTGACTAACTACCAATCTAATTCAAGACGTGCGCATGCAACATGGGATCATGTGATTTCAAAGGAAAGTCATGTGATACTCACATTGAGAAGGTGAAGAAAGAAGCTCCGATGGTAGGACTGACGTTTCGAGAGAAGGTGTTTCCAACATGTCTCAGTACTAGTGATGTCTTGCCAACACCTGTGGAGGAGAGAGGGGGGGGGGGATGAAGCAAGAAAGGAGAGAAAAAAGAAAAGAAGGACAAAGGAAGTGGTTGAAGAGGGAGAAGAGAGAGAGAGGGGATAAGGGAGAGAAAATATGAGACTATGATCATAATGTAGAGAGATAAAACGTGTGGTTTGTATGACACCCAAAACTCTAAGTCACATGACTCTCTCTTCAACCACTTCCTTTGTCCTTCTTTTGCACACTAGTAAACTCGGGAGAGAAAGAAAGGGAGTGAGGAAGGAAGGGAGAGAGGGAGGGAGAGAGAGAGAAGGAGAGAGAGAGAGTAATGCCTATTGTTAAGGGAGAAAGGGTGAAGGACAGATAGAGGTTGGAGAGGGAGGGAGTGAATAACACCTATTGTTCTTACCACTACAATACAGGATAAGGGAGAGAAAATATGAGACTATGATCATAGAGAGATAAAACGTGTGGTTTGTATGACACCCAAAAACTCTAACAAATTGATGCACAAATATGCCCATTATTCCGTTAAACACAGATTTGTGAGTTTACGAGTGTGCAAAAGATGATAGCTGAAGCTGTATATGTAGTATGTCACTATCACCTACTATAGATAATAGTTATAATATTGTCAGGAAGATTGAGAAACTGTTGCTGCGTAAGCTCATATATCATAGGACAGTGATTCATGGAATTACAAGCATGAGTTACCTTACACAAGATCATTATACACGTTTATATTATAACTCTGACATTTACTTCCCCACTCATAGGGGTTTAAATAGGACAGTAATCAATTTATACAGAGAGCGGGAGGGAGGGGGGAGGGAGGGAGAGAGATGGGGAGAGAAAGAAAGGGAGTGAGGAAGGAAGGGAGAGAGGGAGAGAAAGAAAGGGAGTGAGGAAGGAAGGGAGAGAGGGAGGGAGAGAGAGAGAAGGAGAGAGAGAGAAGGAGAGAGAGAGAGTAATGCCTATTGTTAAGGGAGAAAGGGTGAAGGATAGATAGAGGTGGGAGAGGGAGGGAGTGAATAACACCTATTGTTCTTACCACTACAATACAGCTTCAATAGTAGACGCTATGCTGGGAAGTTTGAACTACAAACTGATTCGTAACGGTGCAAAAGCAGGTCGCCACTGATCAAATGGGGCCTCAATAAGACCCACTAAAAGGGTCCCTTTTGTACCTATACCAGCACGTATTGTGTAGTACACAGCTTAGTGCTTAGCACACAAAGGAGGTATAGACAGTGTATTTGTGTCTGCACGCAAGTCAGCTTTCTTCTAGGACAAGTTGTGAGCAAGCCCAAGTGTAATCACAAGGCGAAATATCCTGTTTTTAGCGGTGTCCCGACGAGGGAGGTGTCCTGATCGGTGAGGTGTCCTGATCAGTGAGGTGTCCTGATTAGTGAGGTGTCCTGATCAGTGAGGTGTCCTGATCAGTGAAGTGTCCTGATCAGTGAGGTGCCCTGATCGGTGATGTGTCTTGATCACAAGAACTGACCTCATATATACCTCATAGGAATGACTATGGAGATTGTACTCTACTACACAGAGGTTGGACGTTACAAAACAAGTGTCTTTTATTGAGGGGGGTCCTTAATTGGAATGCTATTATGGCCCACTATCAACTACAACTATATAGACGGAAAGGCTTTACCAGGAACATACAATACGGATTTACATATAATAATGAACTAAAATAGGCACCCCCTCATAGTCTTTCTGGAAGTGCGGATAAACAGAATTGGAACTTCTGTGGCTACAGTTCCGAGCAGTGGCACGGTGCTGATCAGTACTGTAATGTTAGAAGACTATTATATGGCTGTGTACAGAGAGGTTGCTAGCCCGGCACTCTTGTAAGGTTGTCTAGGTTGCTAATGCAGCGTTTTCACATCTGTTTTGCTTTTCATTCCCGAGCTGATTTTCAATCTCTTTAATTTCTAATCTCTCTCTTTCCCTCTCTGTGTTATCAACCTTTCTCTCACACTCTTCTCTCTCTCTCTCTCTCTCATCTTTCTGTTCTCCAACAGACCTTGGGTGCCTAGTATGACGACTTTAGCCTCGATCGTAGGAGTGCGATCAGACCCGGCACTCCGACCCGACATGCCGTCCAGGGACATCAGCAGTCGCACCTCGCGCGAAAATCACGGCTTCCACTCCGTGATTTTCGTCCACTAGCTGTTTAGCTGTCTATTTTCTCCCCCTCTCCCGCCCACCCGCTCTTCCCCACCGCGGCAATTAGTGAAGCCGGTACAGCGGCCAAATAGACTACCTTAGTCAACGGCAACCTAACTAGCCGGCTTCCGCGCTAACTCAAACACCGCAAACTGGTTGCTTTTGCTTCCTTTTCGCTCTATATAGTAGATCAAGTGACCATGTTTTACCATTGTACGCGCACTTAAATACTTGCGCGGAAAGAGACACGCCCCTTTACTAACTGCTGACTCAGCACTAAGTGCGGTGGTCGTGGCTTCCGCGAGGTGAAGGGGCCCAATGGCGGTGGTGCGAAGCCTTGCAGGCCACTCCAACTACGTCTGGACGGCCAGCTTCTCGCTGGACGGCTCACACGTGGTCACGTGCTCCTCGGACGAGACGGCGCGCGTCTGGAACCTTGCAGACGGCGGCTCAACGGCAAGTATGCAAACAAACACAACACAACAGCTAGACATTCACATTTTACAGTTTCCAGGGGGACCCCTGGGACATCAGTTTTGTCGATCACGTGACGCTCACGTGATATTCCGCGCATGCTCACAACACACGTACAGGTAGCCACACTGAGAGGTCACAACGGGGTCGTGAGGGCGTGTCAGTTTTCTCCTGACTCTCGTCTCATAGCAACATGTTCTTGGGACAAGACCATAAAGGTCTACTTCACTCAAAACTTTCAGGTTCACATTTTTTATCGTTTTTTGAGGTTTTGCGTTTTTTTCCTCTCCCCCTCTGTCTCAAATTTCACTGCTGTTTTATAATTTTTAACCCCTTTGGACGCCATGGGTATCGATCCTTAAAAAAGCAGAAAATCAAGTATATAAATTATTGTTCCTAGTATTTAAATTATTACAGGCTTCCGTGGCTGGTTACGTGTTAAAACCGATAATTAACCTTCAACATTACCTCTAATTTTTCACCTTTCTCTCCATCTTCCTCGATCTTCTTCCCCTTCAATACCCCTTCCCCTACATAATGTTACATAACAACACTTCCCCTCCCCCTACAGCTGGCATACACACTACAAGGTCACAAGTTCGGAGTCACTGACTGCGAATTCTCACCGTCCGGGAGCCTCCTAGCAACGACCAGTTGGGACGACACAGTCGGACTGTGGGACGTCGAAACAGGACAATTAGTCCGCAGTCTCAACGGTCACAGTAGCGCTGTGTCTTCATGCTCGTTTGGAGTTGGAGGCAGCTTCCTCGTACGTAAGACACTTCTCTTTCTGATAATCCTTGTGTGATTATAGCTAATCGGTAAAAAAATGGCCTTAGGCACACTTTCCCTAAATCACCCTTTGGACACCATGGGTATCTCCTTAAATAAGCACAAATTGATGTATAAAGTGTTAGTGCCTAGTATTATAGCCCCATACAAATTCTTATGGACTTATGGAGGCTCTGGACACATGTATATATGTATGTGTCAGTGACTGGTTAAGTGTTTAAAGTGCTTTACAAACGCACTAGCAAACCAAGGATAATGCTTGTTACGCACAGAATCGCCCTCAATAAATATTCCAATGTATTTTGGTTTTATTAGCATTTTTATCTTTGAGATTGATTTTTATTTATTCGTGGCAGGCGAGTGCGTCATGGGACGGGACGGTACAGGTATGGGACATGTCGACGAACTCTCCGGCCGTCACTCTGATTGGTCACGAGGAGTCGGTGTACGACGTGGCTTGCAGCCCAGTGGAGCCGGGAATCCTGGCTAGTTGCGGCAGGAAGGGAATGGTGGCCTTGTGGGACGCAAGAAGTCGAGGTGTACACACAAATTTCAAAAAGTTTTTACTTTTCGCTTTTTGACCCACACACTTTTGGAATGTGTCAGTACATAAGGGCTAAATTTAGAAATGTTACTAAAGATAGACCGAAACAATAGGGCCCAGTGCAAGAATGCGATTAATTTTCTCTTTCGATAGTGTTTTGACCCATTTTACCTCACTCTCTACTCCTCTTCCTCCCTCCCTCAGCAATTCTGCAGGCCACCCAGAGAGTTTCCAAGGAGACCAACTGTCTTGTTTCTCCCCAAACGGCTCACAGCTGGCGTCTGGCAACGACCTCTGCCAGCTACAGCTCTGGGACCTCCAGCAAGTCAAAGTCAGTCTCAAAATTAGCACCAGACCTTTCAATTTAAATGCACTGTTTTAAGATTGTGTTACTCCCTGTTGTCATCAACGTAGGTGTCTTCATTCCAGGCCGTTACCCCGGCAACCCTGTCCTCTCACTCCGGGGTAGTATACGGGGTAACTTACTCCGGTGACGGAGCCTACCTCGCTTCGTGTTCATCAGACCTAACCTGTAAGATATGGAGTCTAGCTGGTCATCCAGCTATTGCTGACTTGGCTGATAGCTTAGCCTCCATGCTTAGTATTGGTAAGTAGCAATACTCGATTTTTACGTTTTTTCCAACTTGGAAATATTTTTGTGTTTTCGAAGTGTTGTACGGTTTTAGGAAGGTAAAAAACAAACAAACGTTTTCCAAATCGAAAAATAAGTTCATAACAAGAATTGAATAATGATAAAAAAATATTAGTCGGAAAAGGAGGTAATAAAATATTAACAGAAGCCACACCTATTATAAAGTTGATAAAAATCAGTGCAGGAGACATTTTTCAAAAATTTAATTTCTATATACATATTAGAATGACTTTAAAAGAATGCTAATTAATTACTGTCGTCTTCCTCGATCTGACATCGTCCGGTGCAAATGAAATTAAAAACGTATGCAAACCCGATGAGGATGAACACTAGGATCATCGCCAAGGCAACGATCCAGCCGCAGAGAATGAGGAACAGTATCCAGCCAAAGATGAGGAAGATGGCGGTGATGGGACCGGCCTTGTGGGGTTTGTACCACGCTCCCCCCGGGTCAGTGTGGAACACCTTCCAACAGCAACCATGTGGACGCTCCTCTGCAATGGGAGGTGGAGAGGAGAGGAGGTGAAAAAGAAAAGTATCACATGATAATTATTGATCCAACCACAACCAGGCTTTCAATTACATATTGATCCAGGGGGGGGGCAAATGTGTAAACTCTAAGGGGGGTGAGAGTTTATCAAGTGTGTTGAGGGCCCCCCTGCCCCCATATACGAACCCCTGATATCAGTATAGAACCCATCTCTAAGGACACCTTGGGCCCCCTGCCCCCCATATAAGAACCCCTGATATCAGTATAGAACCCATCTCTAAGGACACCTTTTCTTTCTTTCGACCCCTGAATAAGGATCCCTCATCCTCCCCTCTCTCTCACCTTCAGGTGCCGTGGTGGCCTCCTCGTCCTCGAATCCACTAAACCTCTCCTCGGCACTCCCTCCTCCCATCATACGTCTCAGTGTCGGTCTGATCGGTACTATCAGTGGCAGGGCCTTCTTTGCCGCTTCCTACGGTCAACAGACGGAATAAATCACAAGACAGACTTTGATTTGATGTTGCACAATCGACAAAGAGGATTAGATGCGCAAGCATAAGAATATTGTGAGGAAGAAGCAAGTTTTTAGTGTTTCCTTGCTTCAGAGTAAGTGATATGGTTAGCAATGGTTCTAGCTCAGCCCAGAGTGTTCTGGGCACATGGTGGTGCTATCAAGTAAAAATGTCAATACACTTGATGTATTAGTGGGGGTAGAACAAAGTTCCTTTATAGAGAGCTTTATAGAGAGGTGTCCTTTATTCAGGACTTACTGGATAGCTCTTTGCCTGGGTGTAAGTGGGAGGTTCATCAGTACTCATTGTTATCGAGTAGTCACACGTCTCGCAGTCTGCAGTGACACAACAGGTCATGTGATCAGTCACGTGACTAGTCATGTGACTCACTGTATCTGTGAAATATGGGGACCAGTTTCTCCGGTTTCATCTTCTCTTGAACGCACGACACGACTTGCTCGATCGTCTTGTACGGATCTTGCTGAGGGATGGAGGGAGAGAGAACTGAGGTGTGTGACAGCAAACTTCGCAATTTTTGGCCCTCCTAGTTGCCCGAATGTGCAAATTATCTTCTATACTGTATGCGAAAACACCGATGGTAGCAATGCAAAGGCTGTATGAAATCTGTGTGGGGCCAAATACCTGGTGGATACCCACATACCTTAATGTTACACGCGTGAATCAAAATACTCTCGAGACGACACACGAAAAACCCAACTGCTCGCTTTTCTTCCCAAAACAAATGCGCTGCATTCCTCTAGTACGTGGTGCTTCTTACTCAAGTGTAACCAGAGAGACCGTGCAGAGACTACATGGCTCAACGGCACAATGTTCTATTCAACTCACTGAGTTCTCAAGTTGAAAATTCCCCTCTCTGATACATATGGAGTAGTGCTTGTAAACCTCCACGCCCCCTTCTCTGGGTAAGAATAGAATCAAGAACATAACCTTCTGCCTTCTCCCTCTCCCTCGCTCTAAATTGACTATTTCTCCTTTTTCTCATAATTCTCTCCCCACTAATTGCCCCTCTCTTATTCTTCTATCTTCTCTTCTCTCTCCCCACTCCCCTCCCCCCTCTCTTCTCTCTCTCTCTCTCCCCCCTCCCTCTCCCTCCTCACTAACGATAATCTGATGGAGAGACCGTAACTCTCTGGATCGTGGAAATGAGACACCAGATACGAGCCGTCGTCGCCATGACGACGGAGCATGTCTTCGGCCTGGTCACATGACAAGTTGTCAAAAACGTACCTGTAATTGCGAAATTACATATCATTTTGCCTGCAGCATCACACACTATCACACCAATAGTACACACTGAAGTGCGTAAGACCCTTTATTTAGACTTTTTTTGGTAGACTATTTTAGATCTTTAAAAGACTTGCATGTGGATAGTTTGCTAGACCTAAAGACTCACCAAGCAGCGTCTACCTCGTTTAACGCGTGCCCGCGTCGTCTTCATCTTCTTCTCTCCGTGAATGACATCGGCCACAGTTCTACCCTCTCCCTTCCCCTCCCCACCTCTACCTAGTGGAGGGACAGCCAAACACACACACACATCATTGATTAAGCTGATCACGATAATACATGTGATTATGTGGGAATGTATCCCTAATGAGGCATCCTCTTTTCTGTAAACGGATCATCAACAGCAAACCCAACAGTGCTATATAGGTACTATGCTAATAGTTAGCTTTTATAATGCTTCTTTTACCTCACCCCAGCAACCAGTAACTGTTAGACAAGTGAAATGTACTACTAACTCTATAGCTCAATTTTATGCACGGGCCAGTAAGCTCTAGTTGTTCCATACCTACCCACGTCCGTAGCTTGTATATAGGCACACAATTAATTTTGTAACCACACGACATGTTGGGCCTATCTTCTACGCACCTCTTTTGTCTTGACGCAGCATTAGAGGCTCCGAAGAGCGCGCCAAGTCCCTGTCGCCGTCCATGGACGTGTAGCTACTCACGAGCTGCCCCTGGGTAGTCATGCCAACTATGTATCCACACCAGTCGTCACTCTACAGCACTGCAAGCTGGTTCATTCATTCACACCTCGCCTTTTCCACCACGTCGTAAGCGCACGCGAGGAGGCGCTTACGCACGCCGCGCCGCGAGACAGCAGACCATGCCACATCCTGCACAAGACACTCACCGTTGTTGTTGTTTCCGTTACTCTCAATATCCTGCTTTGTAGTAGACTCGGAAGCCATCTCCCCCAAAAATGGCTCGTTGCTGCTTCTCTCTCCGGGGGACGAGTTGGGGGCGTGGCTTGTATACTCAAGAAATATCGAACTCTAATTTCGTTAATTTAGACGTACCCACGTGTCGAGTTTTTTAACACAGATGCTTTCTCTCGCTCGAAGAAGAAAGAGGGGATGTTTTCGTCCCCTGTTGAAGAAGAAGGTGTGTAAGGCCTAGCTTTTTACGTTGTATGGAGAATGTCGCGCCAATATCATGAAATACATAGCTTACTCCGGAAATTCAAAATTTTCCCAAAAGGTATTTTTATTGGGTTTTCTGTAACATCAGATGGCACAAAGACGTCGTGTAAAACACTCACAATCACGTGAACAAACGAAACTGCAGCCAAAACTTAGTGAATGTCTCCATGGTGATTCACCCAAAGCTCCACCCACCAATCAAGAAAAAGGAAGAGAGGGTAGGAAGAGAAGGAGGAGAGAGGTGGGGAGAACGCCAAAGAAGAAGATGAAAAAGTCAGAACTGGGTGCTGAAGAAGGGAACGGAATGGAGGTAGACGAATCTGGAATCGAGACTGTGACGGGAATGGAGGCGTGGCAGGAAATGGGTGTACCCCTACCAATTATCCGGGCACTGAAAGACCTCGGGTTCACGTCGCCCACGGAGATACAACAACAGGCCATTCCCGTTGCCATGAACACCACTCGTGATGTCATAGGAGCTGCTGAAACAGTAAGATACATTACATCATCTGTGGGAGGAGGAGTAATAATTATTATTATAAGAAAAAGGGTGAAGGGACAGCGAAATGAGAGGCGAAATAGGGATAAGTCCAGCAAAGTAGTGACGCATTCCAACTATAAGTCAAAGTACGAGGGGTGGTTAGTTTGTCATTTCTTTTACTCACGTGCTCGCAAAAAATGCAAAATTGTCGAAACCCTAATGGGGAAGGAGGGGGGGGAGGGGGAAGTTAATATGTGAAGACACAGCGAAATGAGGGATAAGTACAGCGAGATAATGTTGCTATTCCACATTCAAACTTTAGTTTAGGTATACGAATGGTTCCTTCTCTGTCCTTTGTTAATTGTCAGTCATTCAAGTGATACGATATTACAATTGAAGGGGTCAGAGACAGAGTGGGCCAACCCTCAATATACAACTCTTGCCGGTTTTCCTTCAAATATGTTCTAAATGTCCTTAAACCGGCAAGAGTTGAGTATTGAGGGTTAGCTCACTCTGGCTCTGACCCCTTCTATTATTATACTGCACATGCACATAGACTGCTACCTCAACCTGCTTTTGATAGGGCTCTGGAAAAACACTCGCATTCTCCATTCCAATTCTGAATTACATCATCACAAATGACGCCCGGGGCAAACTACTCAGGGAGAAAAGAGGCGATGTCACGATGACATCGCTGAAAAATCGCGAACAGAAGAAGAAATTGCAAGAGGCGGAAGTTATTGATCTCAACCTCGTGTATCATGACGAGCAAGATGAGAATGATGATGATGAAGAAGATCACGAAAGAGAGGGACAATCTGAAAGTGAAACTGAAAGCTCGTTAGGTGACAATAATGAAGGGGCTTCGGTCGAAGAAAGGGGTTTGGTCACTTCTCTGGATAATATTCCGGAAGATGTCTTTCTAAAAATGATCACTGATAATGATGTCACGATTACCTCATCGGAAACACGTTCACCCACTTCCAATTCACGTGATGAAGGGTCACATGATCCATGTGATGATGTCACAGAGTCACATGACCAGGCAAAGCTCCTGGCCCTCATCCTCACACCTACCAGGGAGCTGGCGTTGCAAATCCAGCATCACATTCGAGCCGCTGCAAAATACACCGGAATAAAGGTTATTTTTAGTATCACACATTATGTCATTGTGTACTGCACACAAATATGTATATACCATTAATGCGGGAATATACCATTACTATAGCGGGAATGTACCATTACTATAGTGGGAAGCTACAAGTATTCGTATGTAGTAGTTGCGAACTTTACTACGGGGGCTCCACTGTGTATTTTGTGGAGACACTTTGTAGTGTGTATTAGCCAAACGTAGTCATGAAAACGGGTCAGCGACGTGTTTAGATTGAGACATGTCTGTGTGTGTAGCGGGGTCAGGACAGCTTGTCTTGTTACGCATGTATAGGTGTGTGTCCTGGTGGGAGGAATGGCGGACGCGAAACAGGAGCGAATGCTGAGTCAGAGCCCGCCAATCGTCGTGGCAACACCGGGTCGACTCTGGAAACTAATGAGTGAGGTGAGTATGTGACACTTTACTAGAAAATGCAGTTTGTAGGCGCAAATGTGGTGTGCTAAAAACCAGAGTAAGTTGAGAAATTATTTTATTTGTCGAAATTTCACAAAATTAATTCCAATCGCAACAGGGGCACCCCTACCTAACGAGTCTTGATTCCATACGGTACCTGGTACTGGACGAGGCAGACAGGATGATCGACTTCGGTCACTACCACGAGTTGTCGTGGATACTGGAGCGAGTCAACAAGGGGGCGGAGTCGGGGGCGGGGCCTGGAGTAGAAGGGACGCGTTGCCAACGACAACAGATGTTTGTATTCTCGGCGACTCTCTCCCTTCCACGGAGGTCAAGCGAGAAGAAGTCGAAAGTTAGACGACGGAAGAATCTGAGCGGTCAAGAGACCATTGGTAAGAGAATAATTATACAGTGGAACCTCTAACAGCACTCTGAGTGAAGGACACCGCTCTATACATGACACCTATTTTTTTGTCCAAGAAATTCTTGCACGCAATTTAGCCCCTGAAGTAAAGAAGACCTCACAATACGGAAACCTTTGTCCTATTGGTGTCCAGGCTGGCATAGTTTTGAACCAAGTATTGTAACCCTCGCTGCGCATGTGAAAACTATGAGGTAGAAAGGCAAAGGCACAACAAACAAGTCAACTACACCTAGGACAGCTCTTTTTTTCCAAGGAAAAATAAAGAGCTGCCCTGGGTGGGATTCGAACCCACGACACTCTGCAGTCTAGGCGAGCGCTCTACCAACTGAGCATGCACACTGAGGGTTAATAAGGAAACCTTTGTCCTATTGGTGTCCAGATTAGTGTAGTTCGGTTCACTCTTCCTCCCTCCCTCTCTCACACACCGCAGAAAACCTTATTTCTCAAGTTGGTCTGAGGGAAAATGCGGCCATTATCGACGTCGCCAGGGCAACGGGCACCACGGAAACGCTCTCTGAAATGAAAATCATGTGCTCCAGTGAAGAGAAAGTAAGATTATTTTTGCCACGATGACCCGACCATATCTTTCTTTTGACCTTTTTTTCTTCTCTCTCTCTTTCCCCTCTCCCCCCTCTTTCTCCCCCCTCTTTCTCCCCCTCTCCTCAGTTTCTCTATCTCTACCATTTCCTACTCCGCTACAAAGGAAGAACACTCGTATTCGTCAACTCCATTTCGACTCTCCAGAAACTGCGTTCTCACCTCGAACTGCTGCAACTCCATCCTCTACCTCTCCACGCCAGAATGCAGCAGAGACAGCGGCTGAAGAATTTCGATCGGTGGGTTAAAAAAATCTCTTTAGTAAGCTCTGCTTGTTTTTCAGTTGCATGGTTTGCGTGTGAAAGAAGTCACATTTATTCGCTAATTTTCGGACGTGTATAATTTTCACACCACATGCTAAACAGTGTCATTATGCCACCTATACCAGTGGCGGATCCAGGGGGGTTCCTTGGGTTCCGACGCGGAACCCCTTTTTTGTCGTTTTGCACCCAATGCGTCGCCGGCCTCGTGCGCGCACACGAGTGCAGTCGAAACCGTTCTGGACAGTGGAACCCCCCTTTCAAAATCCTAGAACTGCCACTGTATATATAGACTACAATACAGAGATAGACTATGGTGCTATTGGCTATTCCCTGTAAAGTATAATTATTACTAGGAATGTGCACGCGCATATTTTGCCTTGCGCCTACCAGCCAATGCGTAAACACTCTGACTGAGGCCGCTCTACCGACTGCGCGCGAAGCCAGACTTCCTACGAATCTGCACGCACGGTGGAAGCTAGACTTCCTACGAATGACGGAAGTGACATTCCTAAGTGTGACTAATTGACATTCTTAAGCGTGACGACACGTACGTACGTACGCATATCGCGAGAATACAACCCGGAGTAGTTGCCTCACGCTAACGCGCTCGGCAATTATGGTTTGTAAAATGTTTTTCTTACTTTTGGGACGATGTGTGATGTTGTGTGCAGGTTTACAAGCTGTTCTGAGGGAGTTTTGCTGGCGTCTGACGTGGCCGCTCGTGGGCTGGACTTCCCTCATGTTCATTACGTCATCCACTACGATGTGGGTGTGGCTTGTCTGATATAATGGGTTGGGTGGAGCTTCCATTGAATATTGTACTTTGGAACACTCTAATTATAGTTAATTCACGAATTTGAGTGTAGAAAGTTGATAACCGAATATGGTCAAAACTTGGAGGAAACTGAGTTCTACATGTCATGTGATTTCAACTAATGTCATGTGACCTCCTCGGCCAACAGGTTCCATTAAACTCGGAGCTGTACGTCCACCGAAGTGGTCGGACAGCTAGGGCCCAGAGGGAGGGGCTCAGCCTCATTCTGATTGGTCCAGAGGAGATGACATCATACAAAAACATCTGCAAGTCGCTCAACAGAGGTATAATACATCATGCTGCATCTTACCACATTTGAGTAAAAATCTTTTTTCGCTCAAAGTAGTGATTTCTGTTGCTTGTAATGATTAATTGCAGAGGGGCTCCCTTCGTTTCCAATGGAGACGGGTTATCTACAAGCCCTTCGTCGCAGGGTCAGTGTTGCTAGGAGACTAGAGGCAACTATTCATCGCAGAAACAAGGTATAATCCGGACAGAAGAAAGCGTCCTTATTAGTGAAGTGTCCTCATTGCAAGGGTTAACTCGTCTTAAATTGCATGCAAGAAACTCTTCTTGGGGGAAGTGTCCTTATTAGAGAGGTCTTCAGTTCATGCACGAGGGGTGGCCTTAGATATCGTCTGTATCCTTCGGAATATCATTTCTCCACAGAGGAAAAGGGACAATGACTGGTTGCAGTCCACGGCCCATGCCATGGAACTGGAATTGGACCAGGACTGGTATGGAATGGGGACGGACAAACCCACCTCACAGGAACTGGATAAAGAGGAAGAATTGAAGTGTGAGCGAACTACTTTCTAATAATTATACAGTGGAGTCTCATTATAAAGAACACACTTGGTACGAAATTCTGGATACTACAAACACACCCTCGGAGCCTAGCCCCATAGAACACTGTACATTTTCGCCACACTTGTGACAAAATTCCCACACTGTGAACAAATCCTTTAGGTCCCCAGCAATTCAATATAACGAGACTCCCCTGTACGTACTCCCAAGTTATTCTCAGTGGCATTGTGCAGGTAGTGTGTATTGTAGAGGGGTTTTTAATTTTCTACCTAATTTGTGAGTGATGTTACTCTTGGCATTAATCCTGTGGAATTCTGCGCACGAAATTTCGCAGAAAACCTGCTACTATATCAAAATGTTTGTCTTCTCTAATAGCGGAGTTGAAGAGATTACTAGAAATTCCGATCATTCCTCGCTCCGTTTCCATGACGTATCCGACGCAGGACGAAAAACACCAACTGTTGAAAAGCATAACAGGTGTGCCGTGTTCTTATCGCCATAGCAACCATTGACTCCATGCATGCACATAATTGCAGGGGCTTGGGGTGGTGATAGATCGAGGCAGATAATCACCACGGAGACGGAGGACGCATTGAAATTGGCGAAAAGGGTGATTTCAAAAACTCACAAAACACACAAATCACATTAGAGATGGTATATACATTTTGTATAATATACACGCAGTATGCATGCACATGAGTAATATTATTGTGAATCATAATATAAAAAGAAAGCATAGTTTTATATAGAGCGCAGATCACATCAATGCACAGTGCACACTTCACCCAAACTGTTGAAACTGAAGTGACCTTACAGCCCGGTGCATGGGGAAACTAAAAGCTGTGAGGTGAAATTGAGAGATGGTGTGTGTTTGTGATCCTAGGTATTGGGTAGTCCAAACAGCCATATGGCACCTGTGTCTCTGTCGTGCTTATGATCCTGCAGAGAAAGAACGGAGTGCCTGATACGCATCTGAAATTTGTATAGTGTTAGAACCCAAAATTACAATAAAGGACACTCTGAATAGAGCACACCTCTCTATAAAGGACACTCTGAATAGAGCACACCTCTCTATAAAGGACACTCTGAATAGAGCACACCTCTCTATAAAGGACACTCTAAATAGAGCACACCTCTATAAAGGACACTCTAAATAGAGCACACCTCCTATAAAGGACACTGAATAGAGCACCTCTCTATAAAGGACACTCTGAATAGAGCACACCTCTCTATAAAGGACACTCTAAATAGAGCACACCTCTCTATAAAGGACACTCTAAATAGAGCACACCTATAAAGGACACTCTAAATAGAGCACACCTCTATAAAGGACACTCTAAATAGAGCACACCTCTATAAAGGACACTCTGAATAGAGCACACCTCTCTATAAAGGACAGTCCCATCATGTCATTTATGTACTATACCTTGTCTTCACAGGCGTAGGCTAGGAGATGTTTCTTTGGGTGCCAGGCAACCGTGAAGGTAGATGCCTGCGTGCTTATCTGCGAGATCTTCTCACCTGTAGCGGTGTAGGCCTGTGAGTGAGAGAGAGAGAGGGTGTGTGTGTGAGAGGGAGGGGTTAATGCAAGCCACTTTTGCCACAATCTCATTCTTGACATTAATTTTTGAACTAAAGCAAGAGAGCATTTTACAGCAGTTCATGTGAATTTGTGTGCAAGAACTATTTGTAAAACTTTTCTTGCCATTGGAATGACCAAATGGCACTCAATTAATACATTAGAGTCCAGAAAATGGTAGATAGAAACTCACTAAGTCGATGTACAAGTCTTCGCTGGCAGTGGCTATGATTTGGTCATCAAAACTGAAACTCAGTGTCCGGACAGGCCAGCTGTTGTCACACACGGGGGGCGGGTGATCAGAGAGAGAGAATGCCACATTACACAATAGGCCAAAAGAACAAGATTGTCTCACTCCAGTCTGGCAAATGTCCTGACACACACCAGATCAGCTACGTCCCATAGACAAGTAAGTGCATCTGCCCCTCCTGTCGCAAAATACCTATAAATGGGCAAAAAATTTGCCATAATCCACGAGGTACAGTATACACCCCTTCAAAATTTTAATGGTTGGCAAAGTTTTACATTGGTGAGAGTCACGGGTTATAAAATTTATTGCCTTGCTCTAGTGTACACAGCACTTACTTGCCGGTGTGGTCAAACTCAATACAGATGCAGTTGGCAGGGTGGGCATTAATTGAGTGTAGAGGTTTGCTCTAGTGTACACAGCACTTACTTGCCGGTGTGGTCAAACTCAATACAGATGCAGTTGGCAGGGTGGGCATTAATTGAGTGTAGAGGTTGCTTAGTGTACGCAAGCACTTACTTGCCGGTGTGGTCAAACTCAATACAGATGCAGTTGGCAGGGTGGGCATTAATTGAGTGTAGAGGTTTGCTCTAGTGTACGCAGCACTTACTTGCCGGTGTGGTCAAACTCAATACAGATGCAGTTGGCAGGGTGGGCATTAATTGAGTGTAGAGGTTTGCTCTAGTGTACGCAGCACTTACTTGCCGGTGTGGTCAAACTCAATACAGATGCAGTGGCAGGGCGCATTAATGAGTGTAGAGGTTTGCTATAGTGTACGCAGCACTTACTTGACGGTGTGGTCAAACTCAATACAGAGCAGTTGGCAGGGTGGGCATTAATGAGTGTAGAGGTTTGCTCTAGGTGTACACAGCACTTACTGCCGGTGTGGTCAAACTCATCAGATGCAGTTGGCAGGGTGGGCATTAATTGAGTGTAGAGGTTTGTCTTAGTGTACAACAGCACTTACTGCTGCCGGTGTGGTCAAACTCAATACAGATGCAGTTGGCAGGGTGGGCATTAATTGAGTGTAGAGGTTTGCTCTAGTGTACACAGCACTTACTTGCCGGTGTGGTCAAACTCAATACAGATGCAGTTGGCAGGGTGGGCATTAATTGAGTGTAGAGGTTTGCTCTAGTGTACGCAGCACTTACTTGCCGGTGTGGTCAAACTCAATACAGATGCAGTTGGCAGGGTGGGCATTAATTGAGTGTATAGAGGTTGCTCTAGTGTCCGCAGCACGTACTTGCCGGTGTCGGGTGGGTCAAACTCAATACAGATGCAGTGGCAGGGTGGGCATAGTAATGAGTGTAGAGGTTTTGCTCTAGGTACGCGGCACTACTTGCCGGCTTAGTGTGGTCAAACTCAATACAGATGCAGTTGGCAGGGTGGGCATTAATTGAGTGTAGAGGCTTCAGGTCAGGCCAACTGTGGGAAGAAATGGAACCTTTATAAGGACAGCCGTGAACTTTTCTTTCCCCAAGAACAGTTCTTACATTGCAATTAATCCATGAATAAGGATGACCTCCTCATAGGACGATGTTTAGATCGTGCCCCATGGTGGTCGGATAGAATGGTCCCCACTTTCAGATTATACAAACGTCCTAAAGAGTTTAGGACGCAAGTTGGTGTCTGTCCTGAACTGCCTCACTGCGATTACACACAGCACAGTGCAGTGTTGGTGTATGAGAAAACTGGTCCCCATCGTGGCACCACGATATCTCGTTGTCACCGGAATATTAACGATATGCATGAATAGTACACATTGGTATGTGTAAACATAGTGGCTAGTACGCCTCATGATATAATGTCAAGTGTCAGTTGTGCAGCGCTGTAACTCGGTTCAGTTGAAAATTTCTACGGCTGCGTTACTACTGTGTCCAAACATTCTTTGGTAGAGAGAATTAGGAAAGTTGTGAATTCGAACCCAACTTTTCCCTTTATTCTACTTCTTTCCTCCTCTCTCTTCGTCATCCCTCCACCTCCCTCATTCTATATACATACACATATATTGAACTGGTCTCCGCTTTTATCTTTAGACGTTCTCACAATCCAAAAAGGTCAACAGGTCAAACATTATCCGAAACAAGAACACGATATAACCCACAGTATATAACAGAGCGTTCCTGTAACGACGGATGATTTTTGTAATGTGATGTCACCTCTGTTGCCGACGGCGATGTGTTTCCGTCGGGGCTCAAGCAGCAGAGGTGATGTTTTCGCCTCTTTCGTAGTATGGTGCTTGTACCTTACCAGCACTGTAATAAAGGAGACAGTAAGAGGAGCTTCTACAGACACCCAGAGCAATGCGCAGAGGTACGGGATACGTATGTACACAAAAACCGATTGCTTGACCACACAAACGTAACGCATGAAATCATGTACAGTGGGAAACCCATCTATATCAGACCACTAATGGAACAGAAGAGATTGTCCGTTGTTAGTGAGGTGTGTCTTCTGATCCAGTGTGGTTAAAATTGCACGCAACACTGTTTTTTGGAGAAGTATATAGGTTTCCTATATACAGGTGTGTTGTCCCATTTACACGGTAGTTATCCTACTAGAAAGGTTCCACTGAAGAAGAGTAAGGTGAAGGATGGAATAGCACAACGAGCTTACATCTGTGCATCCCAAAGGCGGACAGTCTTATCGGCAGACGCGGTGGAAAACACGTCTCTTCGTGCTCGGGTGCCAGCCGAGTGGTCGACACTACCAGAGTGAACTTTGTTCTGTAGTTGCCCTCGTGGTTCTCGGGGAAGGGGAAGAGATCTCCTCTACTCCAACACACCATGGGACAGAAGTGTCCATATTAGTGAGGGTGTCTGGGCACGACATAAAAGAACTTCGTTCAGTACATCGACATAAGTGATTCTATAGCTACCAGTTTCTCGGCAATCACAAACGACCAACGGGGAGAACAGTCTTGTAGTTAAGAGGGGGGCCCCGGGCGTGGGAACGGTCTCGTTAACGTCACAGTTCCCACGCGACAGAGTGAAAATCCAAGGAGGTGGTGCGAACCAATTGGAGTATGAGATGTTTATTGGACGAAGATGGTTAGGAGGAGTACTTTTGAATGAGGCAGAGACAGGAGTTTCTTTCTTCCGTTGTGTTTTCGATGTGTCGCAAGCAAAAACAAA